TGCTGCAAAACTTCTTTGGAGAAAACACACTCTGATTAGCCAAAACAAAGCTCAATTAACTGCAGTAAAGCAGCACTGTGATGATGACAATGATGGTTTTACACAATGCTGTCTTGATGATCCATTTTTAGTAGCAGTTAACTGTGAATGACCAAAAACTTGGAGTATAAAATTTTAAAAATCTGTATCTCAGTAATGTACTGAATTAACCGTGAGGGTCTGAGACATGAAGTCCAGATGCACATCCTGTTCCACAGAGTGAACCAGTCCACATGCTGTTTTTGAGTGAAACAGCAACAACTCAACCTATCATTATCCAATGTAATGAGAGACAGTGTAAGTGTACACCTGAAACTTACATTTGGGGTTCATATGTTTCAGACACATGAAACCAGCCATAATTGAGCATATTCAGGGTGTAGGGCTGTTTGAGAGGCAGTGTGGCTTGTAAGTTAATGAGAGGATGGGCTTGGGAGAGTGCACCCACTGAAGTCAATGTGGGGGTTACATTACCGGCTATGGTTATAATCCTCTGAAAGTACACTATCTGTTCCTACTTAGTAAAGAGGTGTTTGGCCTTGTCTCAGCTACCCCACTCTATATTTGTTGAGAAATTTAACATCTTGGATGCTCATTGACTTCATTAAAATAGGCAAAAGAGAAAATAACTGTCCATTTCTGTAAACAGTAGACAAATTGTAGCTGACAGTTACGCCAGCCCAGCATATCGCCTAGCCTTGAATTGGGGAAATCATTTATTCATTAACTCGCTCATTAAGAGTACATTAAATCTCCTCTGCTTAAAAGAAAGTATTAAAAACAGCAAGTTGAGATTTAAGAGGTACTGACTTCCCTACACTGGCTTGCCGCATCACTCTGTTAAAACAAACATTTAAAAAAGTAAGTTTATTACTGAACTTTAATGGTGCATTAACTTTTGACAGTCAACTTTTCGCTGTTCCTTTGAGGTTTAATGCTAGTTGAAGCTAGCTTGGATTAACCATAGGTTCTTAGGAAATACTTAATGCTAATTCAAGTAACTCCTGAATTATGACAAAAAAAAATTTTAAATAAAACAATAAAAAAAAAACCTTCTCCAAACTGTAAAAAAATAGCATTTGAAAACTGAAATTAGCAATTTGAAACAGAAAAATAAGCGTTCCATAGACTTTAAGACTGTTTTTGCATATCATGGAGAGAAATATTTCAGCACCAGACCAAAGTCCACTGTTTTTCTAAAGCTGTATTTTTGCCATTGGACAAGAAAATCAGCAACCCATTTTTAGTCCTAAAGATCAGTTTAAGGCACGCTGGGATGTAAGACTGGCAGCTTCTCAAGGGTGGAGTGGATTAAATTAGAATGCAGCCATATGTCAGCCTTGTGATCACAGAGTGACTTAGTTATACAGCAAGGGAGCGGTCCGATTATAATGACCATGTTCTCAGAGCAGTGACGAAAGGACTCAGTTAAAACGGCAGGCTCTCAGATATAGGTTAAGTTTGTTTTCTCATGTTCCTGACCCCTGCACTCTGACATACTCAGCTTTATGATGTTGCAGGATTAAAAAGTTTTACATTTACTGCGACCTTTCGAGCTTCATTTCTACAATATTCTTTAGCCGACTCTCTCTCTCTCTTCATTCGCAGACACTCCACACACATCTCCTTATCTGCCTTTGCTTTTGATCATTCATCTGTTGCTTCCCCAGTTTCTGGGTCTGTGTCTCTATTTTCCTCTCTATGCATGTCTGGTACACCCTGTCTGTATTTTAGGTGAGCTTATTATCTTTCTTTTTTGACTGGGATTCCAAATCAACCTTCTCAACTCTTTTTTTCACCTTAAGCTCAAATCTTCCCATAAATTTAAATCCTGCTCTGCATCTCCCCGATAGACTGAAACGAGGTCTACAGAGAGGGGAAAATATTTCAGAGGACAGTGAGTGAGGCTGCAGCAGTGGCAGACAGGCAGTGTCCTAACAATAAATTGGAAGGAACATTTCAGGAGCCTCTTGGAAATGCTGCTACATTTGCTCTCACACAGAGAGGAAGCGAGAGAGAGAGAGAGCAAGAGAGAGAGCGAGAGGGAGAGAGAGAGAGAGAGAGAGAATTGTGGTTGGAGACTGTGTAGGAGTGCAAACGCCTCAATTTCCCAAAATAACTGCCAGATGAGGGGCAGGGAGGCAGGGCGAGGTTGGTACATGGGGTTTATAAATGGACAGTAATTGTATAGCTCCTTCAGATTATACTCAAATACAGCAGACTTATGCACACACAAACACTCTGTCTGTTCATATGTGTGCAAAAGCGATCCATCTTGGACAGGAAACTCTTGCAAACTGTACCATATGACTCTTAAATGTTACTAAACTGGTACACACATCGCTTTACTCTGTCAAACACACATTCACACACTCACATACATGACAAAGATCACAAAATGAACATTAATTGTATGGTTCTCAACTGGCACCCAAAAAGAGAGCTCCCATATATTATTTCTTTAATCCCTCCAAAAATAGACCGCAAAAGAAGCGAGTCTCCGGAATCGTTTTCTTGTGCGCCTCCATCCTTAAACCAGTATGAAAAGCTGACAGTGCAGACTTTGTGTGTTTATCTAAGCTTAGGAAAAACCCAGTTCACTTTAGATGCACTGAATTAGGAGAAGCAGCATGGTAATACCAGAAATCCTGTCACAGTTTGCTCCTCCTTTTAAAATGACACTGAGTGATTGACAAAATACTTGTTTCGTTGCTAATCCCAAAACAAGCTCTTCAAGCAAGAGTTGGACGGCAATGAAGAAGAGGAGTATGGAGGCAGCTGTGGATATAAATGGTAGATGATAACATGGTTGACTCTCCTTTTTATGTGGGGAAAAATCCAAAATCTCAATGTGGGGACAACCAGCAGGGGTTATACAGTACCATGTGTACTCGTATTGGTTGCCATTCTGCAATTTTGTTTTGTTTTTTCATGATATATGAAAAAAACCTGTGCTACAGTGGCATTTTATAATAGCTTTCTTAGACTTCCCAATTCTTACATGATGAAGCTTTTATACACGTTGCGAATCAAATCACTACATTGATAGATTTCATGAAACATCAAGCTCAACATTGGTTATTTACCATTCATTTCACTAAATGCCAGATTATCTGTGATGGGTAAGTGTGACTGAAGTAAAGCAGACCCATTAAAAAAAGAAAAACTGGCCTCATCTAGTCTGTTGTCCTGCCTCCCCACCTGCAGCTCACATGTGGTACTACAACAAACCAACACCAGGTATTTTCATTCCTCCAAGATCTGAGGAAGAGGAGGAAAGAAAACAATCAACAAGAGAAAATTTAATAACATAACCATGCTTGGACTACCATATGGATGGATGTTTTATTCACCTTCTCATATTTGTATATGTGGCGATGTCTGAGAAGGTGAATGAGAAATCAGTCAAAATGACTTTACCAGTGACTGGTAAGTCTGGTTAGGTAAGCAAAAGTATTGTGTTCTGAGTGTTTTTCTGCCACACCCTCTCTATATCAGTTATGACATCTGCCAAAAGCAATTCTCCTATATCTGTATCTGTAACATAGGTTCTCCAACCCCTATCTATTATCTTTTGATTGGCCTTCAACACACTCGAGAGTAAAGTCCTTGGGAGGTGTGACTTAATGTTACTGGACAATATACAAATTAAACCAAAACAAGTATTTCCATTATTTCTGTTGTCTCCATTTATTTTTTCATCTGTTCTTTACAGGGTTGATGGTAAAATAAAGAAAAAGAAAAGAAAAAAGTGTTTGAGCTTTTAGACACAATTTGAGATATTCCATGTGATACAATACAAAGCAATGATACAGTTGAATTTACATTTTTAATGTAGCGATACTGTACTTTGTATAAGTATTTCTATTTATCTTCCAATCCCCTAAAAAGACTTTATTAGCCCACATTTATGCTTAAGTTACTCAATATTTTAATATCGTAACATCTGATATGTTTATTAAATATAGCTGGTTGGAGTTCAGAGTACTGTTTGTGTTGAAATGGGAAAACTTGGCCTATGGGTTTTTGTTTATGTTGCTTTTACACTGAGACACTATGGGGAGAGTGGGGTAAGATATTTCGGATCACTACATCAAGGCAATCATAGTTTCGTCTCTAACTAGTGTATCTGCATATATTTCAAGGTGATGTGCATCCCTGCAAACTAACAGAATGAGTGTAAACATAACTGTCTTGATAATATAGCATGCCAAAAAAGTGGTCTCCTATGGTCAACTTACCCTGTGTATGGGGTAAGTTGAGCTGTATCCCTACTACCCCCCCACTCTCCACCCCAGCCCTCCCTCACCTTCTCTCTCCCTAAATAACAGTCACTTCTTCACATTCATGAGTATTTTTATCTATTATATGCTATAATAGAACACAATTATAATAAAACTTATGACAGACTAAATTCACTTTCAAGTGTGAAACATGTTTTTTTGGAAATAAATGTCTAACCCCTTCACCCATGTGCTTCTAACCTTCACAGACTCCATGAATTGATGCTCATCTCTTAATATTTGGTCACAGGATCAATTTCTTTTCCCATTTCCAAGCAACAGGGGGTGGCTCAACTTACCCTTTAGCTTAACTTACCCCACTCTCCCCTGCAATAAGTATTCTAAAAACGTATATGGCCTTTAATAGCCTCCAAGCATTTTGGCAGGCTATTAAAAGTAATATTGTACTTTTTATATTTAAGAACAAATATTTCATGTAACCTCTAACCTTTTAGCCCCAAATTGAGTTTTGAATGTAAAACTACAACTCCAATTGTTACCAAATTGGACTATTCAAAGTTCTGTCTGAGTTTGTTGGTTAAATTCGATGGAATCAGTCTGCCAAAATAAACTTGATATCGGTTTGCATGTAAATTAAATCCGTCTTCGCCTCTACACTGTACATTACGGTAAACCGGTGAGATAAACAAAGCCCCAGCCCAGTCCTAGCTCGCAACAGTGACGTCAGCGCGCAGCGGCGGTGCACTGACGCGCAGCGATTGGGTGAGCGCGGAGCTAAACTGTGTTGTAGAGTAAAAAGACAAGTCACGGATTACCAAAACAAAAGCTGCGGCCGCATGAGGCCAACTAAAGACACTATCGCACTTTCCGGACTCACATTATAAAGATTTCGGGTAAGGAAACCTTTTTTACTTTCCTTTTCCCTCAAGCCTTGTCGGTTGAAAGAGCTACTCAGCTGCTTCCGCCCTCTAGGAAGTTTCTTTTGTCCTCTTCAGTCAACAACAACAAAACAGACCAGTCGGTGTTTTGAACGGAGAAGGTACTCTTACGGAGTTACAAGTGTTGTGATTTATGGCGGTGTTTTGTCAGAAACAAGTCGGTTATCTCAGAGGTTATCACTCTGTGAATACCTTTGGACTGGCTAATATGAGGGACAGCAAAGAGAAATAGATATCCTGCTGGGTGTGTTAGGTAGGGGCAGCATCAGCGATACAATGGACGATGCCATTTTATGATTGTTGAATATTTAGCTTTTGTGCTTTTTGTAATTCAACAGCACACCTGCCACACGGTTGTTTTGAGACTGTCTTCTCTTCTGTGTAAAATTTATGCCGATAAATTCATTTTTGATAATTGTGTACGTTTGGATAACATGCCTTGAGTCTATGGTGCGGTTCACCCTTACAGGTCAAGTGCAGGGCAACAGTCTCAAACATTGTTTTGGTATTTACAACCTGAAACCCCATCAACAATGCTCAGAGCTCAGCATGTGGATCTACTTACAGACACTGCCCAGTCTCTATTTTCTGGTGGTTTGGGGATTTTACTGTTTATATTCACATTTTTTTAACCTTTTCCTGCAGATGTCACGATGGCTGCAAAATTCACTATTTCAGACAGTGAGTCCGATTCAGAGGAGGTAAAAGACGAAGAAAACCATTTATCAACTGTGGAGAAGCAGGATGTACTCAAGCGACAAACCCTTACCTTACCTGAGCTTAGACCAACAGGTAGGAAACCTTAAAAAAAGTCTGGGGGAGGAGAATTTAAGAATTTAAATGTTTAAAACAGGTACAATGCTGACCACAATTGTGCCTCAGACACAGCACAACATTTTTCTGTTGCCTAACCCGCTGCTATCCATTGTTGAAGCATCTTTCACTGTTCAACGTTCCAGACATGGGGTCTAAGTTTTCTTGCTTGACAACTAGATAGTCTCCTGCCAAGCAAGTTAAACCTGCCACATTCTGTCTGATAGGAACACACAGACATCACTGTCAGAAAAAAATAGATTTTTTTTTAAATGTACCAGCTTTAAAAGCTGTGCCTGCTGTTTCCTGTCATTCAAGATCTCCATAAAATACTATGGGTATCAAGATATCAGTTTGTTACGGCGTAACAATGTGCCACAATTCAAAAGGGGAGTTAAAACTTTGGGTCAAATAAGATTTTTACTCTCTCGATGAGATTTTCTACTAAAAGAAATCAAGATTTTTAAAGGACAAGTAAATGAAAAAGAACTTTGTGTCGGTGTGTAGCAGTTTAACTATGCCCCATGTACAGAGGCTCTATTCCTCCTCACAACAATAAGGTTTGACTCCTGATTTTTCCCACTCTCTGCCTCCCACATTTCCTCTCTTGAACTATGCTATACGACTAAAGCAAAAATAACCTAAAAAAAACAAAACAGCATGTTAAAACAGTTATTCATCAGCAGCATCTTCAACATCACAGTCTGTTTGCCTCATTTTTATCCTACTTCATTGTTGTGTTCTTTTGTGTTTCATTTTCAAAACAACTAAGTTTCTGTTTGTAATTTCTCATAACTGTGAGTCCTATTATCTAACATTGATTCATTTCTGCTGTGTCTTAAGTAATCTTTATCTCTCCGATATAGCATCAGGCCGACTCAGACTGAACTCAGAGTCCCACGCTTACAGTGTCTCCAAAGATGAAGAGCTCCAGGCTCGGGGAGAGGAAGAAGCTGGAACCCCTACTGAGGGAGCTCCATTTAGGGGACGATCAAAATCAGCTCCCCCTGCTTTGTGGGCTGCCAAGAAGTATGGTCAGAAGCTCCGGAGGATGAGCGACGAGTTTGACAGCCTGCTAGACAAAGGGGTAAGAACGGGGGATCAGAGGGTTGGAAGAGAACCTTAATGGTGCTTTGAAAAAAAAAAACCAGAAAGATCCATGGGGGTTGATAGTCACACAAATTGAGGTAATGTGACAAAGGGGTATCATTTCGTAGCCTCCTGTTTAAATAAGACGCCAAAATGACAGTAGAAATCAAGGATATTTTGATTATCACAGCAGGGCAGTTAGTTTACAGCCAGACAGAGCTGGAGTACTAATGTTAGCTTTTGTCCAAAAAGACATTAGAGACAATGAAAAAATATATATATTATTAAGCTTTCAGTAAGTCTTTGAATTCTCAGAACCTAAAGTTTCCAGTTGCTGGTCAGTTGGAGGCAGTAAACTTACGCTGCGTTCCAGTTCCATTGGAAGTCGCGTGTCAGAGCTGGGAATGATGTTACACCAGAGTTGACAGTGTTCCAGTTAACAAGTCGGAAAACCAAGATGGACGCCTACAGTTAGCCGTTGTTAGCTGTTGTTTACAATTGTCAGCTGTCATTAGCCGTTGTTAGCTATACCAGTTGTAAACAACGCACAACACAGTATTTTACTCGTACAAACACCATAGCACCGTGTTCACAGTTAGATGTTGGGCAGTACAACATATACCACTTATTTAATTTCACAAAAACAAAACAGAAGTGCTGATAAATAATTCATTACGAGAGCTTTTACTGTTACTCTTTACTGTTGGTGCACTGTGCTGCAATCTTGGATCATGACGTTGTCGTCAAGTCAGGGTTGGCGAGGATCGTCCAACTTTCCGAGTCGGAAATATGAGTTCTAGGGGGACATTCCAGATGAATTTCCGACTCTGAGCTCGGAAATCCCGACTTCTGAGTACAACTGGAACGCAGCGTTAATATGTCATAATAAAGCCATTTGTAAGACTAAGAACCTGCAGTACAGAAACAAGACATTTCAGGTAAAAGTATTCAGAGTGTGATGTTGGAGGTAGGGTGATTTAGAGACTAAGGGTCAGAATGAGGAAAAATTTGTTTGTTGGCAAAGAAAATTATCAGTTCACTTTTTTATTTTCGCTCATTTTTGTTTATTTGTTATTTGTTTATTCTGTGCAGGAGATGAAAAAGGTAAGGAGCGCTGGGACGACCAAACAGATCCACCACTCTAAAAGCTGGTGGAGCTACCTCTTCAGTCACCAGGAGATGGAAGGAGAGAACAACCACCATGAAAACCACACTCACCGCACAGAGTAAGCTCTGAGAGAGAAAAAATTGACTGATACAAGGTTCCGGTGATGGAGGGATTAAATGGAAACGAGAAGAAAGCGACTGGGAAGCCCAGAGAACATTTGCAGTGAGAACAATGAAACCTGCTCTGAGCGGGGACCAAAAAGAGAGGTTGGTTTAATCAAAAGAAAAGTGAGGGATTCAAACAGAAAGGTGCGGCTTAGCACCAGATCCTTGTGTCATTTTATGCGTAAATGCTAACTACATTTGACTAAATTTTTTTGTATATGTGTTGGTTGTGATGTTAATGATATTGTTGGGCAGCCTACTGTGAAAGGGTGATGGACAAGCATGAAGATAGACAGGAAGGTATCAGAACTCCATTGACCAGCTGAAATGATATACCAAGAGAGGAGAGGTGACACCTTCAAATACAAAGATGCTGATTTTACAGATGACCAACTAAAGATGCTCACGATTTTAGCTGTCTTGCTGTCAAAAATATGCAACATACTGTAGATGTCGAGATAGACGCTCTGAAAACATCACACCTGAGGCCACCTTGTATACTGTTGAAATTTCCTTTCATAGTTTTCTTTTCCTTCAGAAAATGTCAATGTGTAATTGACGCTTGTGTTTATCACGAACGTAAATGAACACAAGTTATCAGAGACCACTGTATTTGTGTGCCAAAACAATCTGCAGGTATCAGAGGAAGTGATTAAAGGTGCAGTGTGTAGTTTTTAGTAGCAAAACAGCCTTGATAAAAATTGAATATCATATTCATTAGTATGTATAAACTAGTATCTCATCACCTGAATATAAGAAGTCAGATGTCGGAGCTGGGAATGACGTCACACCTGAGTTACCAGCACCAAGTCGGAAAAAAGCAAAATCAGAGGCGGAAACAAGATGGCTACATCTACGAAAGTCATTTTAGCACTTGCCTTGTCCTTGCTTAAATTCGGACAAGGCAAGCGCTAAAATAACTTTTGTAGATGCAGCCACCTAGTTTCCGACTCCGATTTTGCTTTTTTCCGACTTGGTAACTGAAACGCTGGTAACTCGGGTGTGATGTCGTTCCCAGCTCAGACTTCTGACTTCCAAGGTAACTCGAATGCAGCATTAGAATCAGCCTTTACTATTGACAGGAGAGTCCCCTCCCATGAAGGTCACCATCTTGCACTACCATGTTTCTACTGTCTCACAGATCAGGCAAACTAGAAATATCAATGTTTCTTATTTAGTAGGTGAAGACACATTTTCATGGAGTATCATACTTCTCATACATCACAGGGGCTTCTTTTCCCCAAAGACCACCATCACCTTACCCATGGGAGGGGTGAGAAAGGGACTGTTTTAATCCAGACCGCTACCGAACATTTAATATCCCCATTTCTACACACTGTACCTTTACAATGAAAGGATTTTTTACAAGTGTTCAACAATGGCCTTTTTCCTGCTTCCCGCTTCTGCTACCTGCAAGACAGTTCCACTTTTTCCACAACAGTACTTGACTATCACTGCTTTATGTCGAAAATAATCAAAAGAAGAACAATCTTGTACAAGGACAATCTCTGATGCAGAAATATCTTTTGTAAAACTTCAGGGTAAGATTCTATCTAAAGAAAATGAAATTAAACATACATATTAAAGCACAAACCAATATGAGTATATCTTTTTAAATCCTTGGATAAGCAAAAAAAAGCAGACTTTGACATTTTTATGTGTAAATATTTTGTTAATATTTTATCAAATGGGTGGTTGGGAGGTTTAAACCTGGTTTAGCGAGAATCTTATTTTGCAAGTTTCTATATTACAAAGTTACTGTGCTTTTAAATGAGTCGGCAAACCTAGCAATAGGCAGTGTACAATCCATGGCTGTTGTGTTTAATGTTACGTGCATATTTAAAAGATGTGTGGATGAATTAATTGCTGTACAAGGAGCCAACACAGTAGCCCGTGCTCATGTTTACTCTGTATTCAGTGCAAATGGACTGTGAAAATGAAACTTGAGGGGGTCTCGTCTCACTTAACACAAGTGTAAGGATTTTGATCAAGTTGTTCTGATATCTGCACCAGCAGTGGTAGTGCCTCTGGTACTGCCCACAACCTAAGATCATAGTATGCCCATCAGTGCACCCGTCAGATGCCATTCGTCATTATCTTCTAGGTTTTGGCTACACCTGTTAGCACGGTTTAGTTCATCAGGTTAGGATTTGTTTTAACAGTGGCAATCAGATTACATTGATTTTGGTTAGTTAGAAATAACTCACCTTTTTAAAACAGAGGGGTACTCAGGGTGTACTCTGAATCGGTGACTGGAAGGTTAAAATGGTCTAACAAATCTACATTTAAAACTTTTTTGTCAAGCTTTTTAAGAGGTTATTGAATAAAATCATTTAAGCAGAGCAGGGTTACAAGAAAAACATTTAATTCAGGGGCACTGCATTGTGTATAAAATAAGATCTACCAAGGATTAGCCAGTGTGTGCTGACCCTGTGAAAGATTAGCTTTGTATGTTTTTTATACTGAGGCTTTTAGCATTTTTAAAGCTGGTGCAGAATACAAACAAAACTTTTGGAAAGTTATTACTATTCTTATGAATGACTTTATACATATAGGTTAATTCATTGGGCTATACTTGTGATATGTTTATCAATATGTGATTAGTGAAAATTGTATTAAAAGTTATTATACGTGTGACTTAACCCTCTTCTAAGACTGGAGGGGTTGAGATGAGAATTACTTTCTTGAGCAGGCTAAGAGACTGCATTAATTGTCTTTGAGATCAAATCTATGTTTAATTTTTTATAGCTTTTCCAAAATTTAATGAGGGAAAGTTTTGAATCTGAGAAATTTTTTAAATGTGGCACTATGTTTTGCAAGATTTTTCCAAGTTAACATTTTGTGTGGAGACATTTGCATTACCCCTGACTGTAAACTCCTTCCCCAGCAGAACAGAGAATACAATATGAGCATGCTGTTAAGAGCTCGGGGTCAGATATTTCTGCTTTACTCTCTCTTGGAATTAAAGTTCAACTGGAAATTAAGAGTATGATATAGTACTGAACTGCCTTGAACATGCTGTAACCTGTGATGTGGCACCACATAGCCAGCCTAGTCTGTTTGCCCAACTACCGCCTTAAACATTACAGCTCGCTGTCACGTGTTAATATAGAGAGCACAAAACACTGAGGTATGTTTGCTGTCACGTGAGGAAAACTTTGCGATGGCCAGCACAGTTCTGTTCTGGAAAAGCCATTTCAGGTTTTGACTCAATCTTTTGCAGTAAACACACCTCAATATGATGAAGCTGCCTGGGCACCCAGAGTGTTGCAACCATCCTTGATATTACTTGAATCTGAGATGTGTATGGAGAAAATTGAATTCTAATTTTAGCTTTTTTTTTTGTTGTTGTTGAATTATTTTACATTTTTCAATGACTTTTTGTAAATGTATTTTCTCTACAGCTGTGAAACTTCTGGTTTATGCTGTCCTGAATAAATAATTTTAAGAGTGGTTTTAAAGTGAACGCCCATTGTTTTGTAATTTTGACGTACAGAGCACATTCACAATTATTGCAAGTTAATTTTTTTAATCACATACCATAAGCCATTCACTGATAATAAAAAATGCAAACCTATAAAACAGTGGTTCTCAAGTCCAGTCCTCGAGCCCCCCCTGTCCTGCATGTTTCCCCGCTCCAACACACCTGATTCAAATGATCAGCTCGTTATTAAGCCACTACAGAGGTTGATAACGAGCTAATCATTTGAATCAGGTGTGTTGGAGCAGGGAAACATCTAAAACATGCAAGACAGTGGACCTCGAGGACTGGACTTGAGAACCACTGCTATAAAACAAATGTCTTTTTTGGCACTTGCATTAAAAACAACTAAACACTGACAGAGAGGCTCTCCAGCGCCTCCAATCAACTCTTACAGCTATTCTCATATCAGTAATTTGCAGTTATTTTTGAAACGCAAATTGTTCTGGCAAAGCAGACAAACCTGAGTTCAGCTTGTCTTGCTGTCGTCGAACTGTACTTTTCCACTTCGATCGTTAGTTGTGCCTCGCTACTGCATCACAGCCTGACAGATCTGGAGAACAGCCACCTCCAAGATGAATCATAAAGGACAGTATCTGATCCAGTAGGAGTCTGTTATACCACTTGTGATGCATCCCAGCAGTACTTTTTTCCGCAGTCCAGAGCTGAGAGTTTGTCCATGTCTGTGTCACTCAGTGCAAAGTCAAAAATCTCGGAGTTTTCTTTTATTCTGTCTGGATTTGATGACTTGGGGAGCACTGGTATCCCCTGCTGCACAGCCCAGCGCAAAAGGACCTGGAGGCAGACAAGGGGCTTTAGTACTGTCTACTTAAAATCTGAGGTCGTTTATAAAGATGCTTTGTTTTTGTTTATTGTGTTACCTGTGCAGGTGTTTTTGCACAGTTCTTTGCCACCTCATTGACCACAGGGTCAGTAATTAGCTCTCCTTGTCCTAGGGATGAATATGCTTGGAAACACACGCCATACTCCTGACACACTTTTCTCAGTTCTTTTTGGCACAGATGTGGGTGAAACTCATCCTGAAGAAAAAATGAAAAGCACTACCTATCTAGATTTACTCTGTCAAAAAGTGCTAGAGCAGATTTTTTTATTTTTATTAAATATTTGTGAGATATTCTCTTTTGATTGTCATGCTTCTTACTTGTACTACTGCAGGAAGAGTTTTGCAAATCTGCATCAGTTCCCTCATGTGTGCTGGTGTGTAGTTGGACACCCCTATGGCCTTCAGCTTCCCCTGGGCATGAAGTTCCTCTAGTGTAGCCCAGCTCTGAGCTCTGTTGCCTGGAATAAAACATTAATAGGGGATGATTACTAGTGTTACTCAAGTACAACCGCAGACTTAAAACAGGACAGTGAGAAGACAGACCGAATCTTACTTTGTGGATTATATCACAAATACTGCTTTTTAGACAATGTAAATACTACCACGAGTTTGTGATTTTAGACACATTTCAGCATTTGTATGAATTAAAACAGACTCAACACTGGCCTTACTGAATTATTTACCTGGGTTACGTTGGTCAGATACATCCATGCCCTGTGTGCCAGGCCAGTGGATCAGGTAGAGGTCAATGTAACCCAAATCCAGCTGAGACAGGCTGCGAAGGGCTCCTTGCATGGCGCGTTTACCCTGATCTTTGGGGCCCAGCTTGCTGAGAGGGGGAATCAGAGAAAGAAGGGTTGTTGAGAGAACATTTACGAGCCCAACTTCAAGATTTTTTTGTTTGGTTTCATATCACAGTTGAAATGAAAATGATATCTATGTACATTAAAGTGCCATAACACAAGATGTTTTCCATTGATAATTATACTTCAAGAAGGTCACGAAGATATTGGAAGATAGGCATTGATATTTTACCTGGTTATGAAAACATCCTCTCTAGTCAAGCCGTGTAGAGGCAGGAGCTTTTTCAAGGCTGTCCCCAGGTCGGCTTCATTTCTATAGACGGCCGCGCTGTCGAAGGAACGATAACCAGCAGCAAGTGCTGCGTCCACAGCCCGGTACACATCTTCAGGACCTACTAACTTGTAGGTCCCCAGTCCCAGGAGGGGCATGTGATCCCCAGTGTTCAGAGGGACAGAAAAAGAAGTGGAGGAGGACATCTGGATGTGTTTGTCTTCCCAACCTTGATACAGAAATGGAGAGACCAGATTCAGGCAATTGATAAGATTTGAGAAGTACATACAGTGTAGAAGTTAAAAGTTAGGGCTATTTCTGCAGGAGTGTGATATGGGACAGTCAAATGAGGCGACAGAAAGGCCACACCACGTGTACAAATGAACTAATAATACAAATATTGCATGAAGACACTCAAACAGTACGGTGACTAAACTGCTAAAGCTCTTAAATGTTTATATTTTACATTTAAGCACAAACACTGTTATAAACAAGTCAAGAATTCAACCTTACAACAAAAGAAATCACATAGCTATATGACTGTGTTTCAATGGTACTGTCAACAAAGTTTGACTATTCAGACAAATGTGACTGACAGTAGGCAACATCGCAACATGAGGAATGACAAAGTTTGATTCAAACGTAAAAATTTAACCTTCATTTTGGTAGAACTAACAGAAACATCAAATTAAGATGTCACATGGAGGAAACATCTCACCTCTGGGTTCAATCAGCTGGCTCCTCCGACGTATAAGTGGATAAAACAGTCTGTCGTGTATTCACAAGTTAATGTGTCCTTTAGGCAAAACTTAAGAGAAGAAACAGTTAACTGTTGTCTTCCTTGTAGTTCATATCATCGCTTAGTTTTGTGTTCAACCGCTCCGTTGTTCCGCACATGGTCAGCTGAGTGTCATGTGACCAGTTTAAGCGGATTTTGGCCTATGAGTTTTGCGTCGTCATGGTTACATCTACTCTGACGCCGTTGATTGGAAGAACATGAAGCCAATCACAGAAGAAAAAAAATCTCTGGAAGGCGGGAGTTCGCTCAGTCTAGCCAATGAATCAGTTAAGTGACTCACGGGTGAGCAGAGTTTGCAGGAAGTCAAATGAGGTTGCTTGAAAATTCATGCTTACATTGTTTTCATAAACGAATTTAAAATGTATTTGAAATCTCTTAAAACGTGAACTGGTTTGAAGGAACAAAAGTTATATGATATGAACAGCTGAAAATGTTTTTAAAAAGAAAGAAAACCCTTGTAAAGTTTTGCATAGCATAAATTATTTTATTTACTTTAAGTGACTTTTATGTTTCTGTTTTTACTTGTTGTTCTTCACTGTCTACTTTATTTTATTGCCCTACTGTTTTTCCCCCCGGTCTAAACATGCATTGTCGCTTTCCCATATTGTTAAGTATTTCTCACTGATGTTATTTTAATATTGAAATTACTGGACTGAACTGATTATGCTATGTTTGGAATTAAAATTTCTGAATAAAGCATAAATAAATAAAAAAATTCATGCTTACATATATGACTTGGAGCAGTGGTTCTCAAGTCCAGTCCTCGAGGCTCACTGTCCTGCATGTTTTGGATGTTTCCCTGCTCCAGCACACCTGATTCAAATGATTAGCTCGTTATCAAGCTCTGTAATGGCTTAATAACGAGCTGATCATTTGAATCAGGTGTGTTGGAGCAGGGAAACATCCAAAACATGCAGGACAGTGGGCCTCGAGGACTGGACTTGAGAACCACTGACTTGGAGAAATGTCCCACACCATTTCATTTACAGACATCAACAGACTTGCTGACCCGAAAATAAAGTTCAGTAGTTCAATAGTCTCTTTTATTGGTTTTATTACAGATCTCTGGGTATTAATCAGCAAGATTTGTAGAAAACATGATACAAAGCCCTTACATATTTTTTAAAAAAATTTAACTAAAGAAAAGAATAAAAGAATTTGAAAAAATGTTAGTAGTATCAATTTAGATTATGGCAATTGATAAGTTTTATTAACAACCAAACACAGTTTTTGGTCAGACAGCATTAAGGTTTTTGTTCTTTATATTGCATAAGGCACAATAAAACAGAAATTTCAAAGTCGCTTTCATTTGAAATGTTACTAGAACTCAATATCTCAGTCAAAATTTTTCCTTCAGTCTCAACCCACTGGCAGCAGAAAAAAAATATAAAAATTATATTTAAATTTCATAATATTTATCATGGAAGATCATTTGTGCTTGACAATTAATGAGTCAAAGCACTTGTGATGAATCCACGCAGTACTTTTTCCCGCAGTCCAAAGCGGAGAGTTTGTCCATGTCTGTGTCACTCAGAGTGAAGTCAAAAATCCTGGCATTGTCCTTTATTCTGTCTGGATTTGCTGACTTGGGGATCACTGGTATCCCCTGCTGCACAGCCCAGCGCAAAAGAACCTGAGGAAAAGAACAATAACTTAAATATTGCCCTTAAATGTGTTTATATATTCACTTATTATGAAGTGAGGCTGGCTCCAGAATATGTTATCTAGAAGCTGTTTGTATTCCTTTTACCTGCGCAGGTGTGCGTGCACAGTTCTTTGCCACCTCATTCACCACAGGGTCAGTGGTAAGCTTTCCTTTTCCTAGGGATGAGTATGCTTGGAAACACACTCCATACTCTTGACACACTTTTCTCAGCTCTGTTCGGCACAGATGTGGGTGGCACTCATCCTGAAGAAAAAAACACTTGCATTTGCACTGGCAGAGGGTACAAGAACAAACATCATTTTTAAGTTTAAAGTTTTTTGACTTATTCCTCTCTTTATTGTTCTGTGTCTCACTTGTAACACAGCAGGAGGAGTTCTGCAACTCTGCAGCAGTCCCCTCATGTGTGCTGCCGTGAAGTTGGACACCCCTATAGCTTTCAGCTTCCCCTGGGTGTGAAGCTCCTCTAGTGCAACCCAGCTCTTAGCTCTGTTAACTGGAATCAAATATAAATGGGAATTATTGACAGCTATAATAACTCATTTATCACTACATGGTCCATTTGTCTAAAAAAATCTCAGTATACTTGGCAAAATGTGCACAGAAGTAAATAATAATGTACGTACAGGCATCACCATAAACAAAATTTCAATGTAACCAAAGAAACACAAAGAAACACAAAGCATGTGATTAACTCAAGGGTAATATGGCAGCATGTCCTTAGTGCAGATATTGTGGTAAAACCAATCTGGTGTTGGAGAAGATTTTCCATCTAACTCAAAGATGTTAATCATATATTGTCTGGTATCAAGTCATTAAACAGTATTTTTTTTCTTAAGCACAGGTTAAATTTCCAAGAAATACATTTAAATAAAGAAGAAAACCTCTGCTTGTCACTGTAATGATAATATATATATTTTTACAATAATGAAATGACTCATGTAAGTTGTTGATTTTGACAGCAGGAGCTACTCACAACTTCAAAGTTGTCAGTTGAGTTTCTGTTTGCACACATTTTCACAGTACAGAGATAGCATAAGGTTTAGAGTTATCAGTGGCAGAGCAGCATTGTTAGCCTGTTTCCAATCTGACAGACCCCTACAATGAAGAACAGCCAACAGTCTTTATTTATATTGGGTTATGTGTAAATTCCGCAGGAATATTCTTTTAATTTCATCTATAAATTGTTTATGTCTGTACTTATTATTTTCACTGCAGATTTATCCTTTAAAGTTTATGTGAGGAATTTTTAAGTGATTATGTGTTTGTGTTTCTAGTATTGAAAGCAAGATGGATGAGGTTTTTTTTACATGTATCTGCAGGTTGACATCAGCAAAGATACTTTATGGACTTGGGTGCCAAAGTGAGAGCAAAATGAAAGTTCCTAACTAAAAATGTAAATAGAAAAAATATAAATGAGATGCAACTGTATGAAAAGGACAATAAGTTATACTAAGAGTGGTCAGAGCTTTAATGGGAGGAAAAAAGATCATGAAAAGCAAACAATCCTGATTCTTTTTAACTCAATGTCACGGTACTGCAGTAGAGTTTTATCCAATAATCTGTCATTTCAGTATAAAACTCTGGATTAGTGGAGCAATAACAATGAGTCTGACCAGTCAAACTTTAGCATCTTTCTCATATCCATCAAGAGGAAATGTCAGCGTAAGAGACTGTATCCATGTCTCCTCACTTGTGTCCTCTAAGAGGTCTTGTCTGCACTTTGCGACTCAGAGCAAATATTAAATAAGAGAGAAGTTGGCTTGAAGAAAGGAAACATCAAGCCAGAGACTTAAGGTAACTGTCTGCTTTTATCTGAGCTCTCTGTTCTTTACCTGGGTTGCAGGGGTCTGTGGCATCGAGACCCTCAGTGCCAGGGTCATGGATCAGGTAGAGGTCAATGTAACCCAAATCCAGCTGAGACAGGCTGTTAAGAGCTCCTTCCATGGCCTTCTCACCCTGATCTTTTGCGGACAGCTTGCTGCAGGGACATAAGTGGAGAATTAGTCATAGTTTTTTTTTTTCATATGAAAGACAAACATAAAAATTGGTTGTATTTCATCAATGTTTGTCTTTCATTTTATTGATATATGAGCTTATATACTTCACCTGGTTATGAATACATCCTGTCTGGTTAAGCCATGTTTAGGCAGGAGCTCCTTGAGGGCTCTCCCAAACTCTGCTTCATTCTGGTACGCAGCTGCACTATCGAAGGCCCTGTAACCAGCCAGTAGTGCTGCGTCCACAGCCTTGGAGACATCTTCAGGAGACAACAATTTGGAGGTCCCCAGGCCCAAGAGGGGCATCCGGGCCCCTGTGTTCAGGAGGACAGACGGGTTGGTGGACGAGAGAGACATCTCATACAGTAACTCTTCTTCTTCTCATACAGTAACTCTTCTTCTGGGCACCTATTTTGGATGATATGTTGGATAAAATTAACCCAAGAGAGAGAGATTTGGAGAGAAATCAATTTATTACAGGTAAAATCAAAGATTCTTCGGTTTGGGCATTTCTAAGTTTACATGGATAGTATAGGCTAGGTGTGATACAGAATTGATCCCAATACTGTTACAAACAGACCCTGGTTTACACTTAGCTGCATCATTACTTTTGGGTGCCCATATAAAAAGGTAAGCACTTGGATCAATCACCTGTTTTAAACTATAACTGCTGTTGTTGTTGCTATAAAGTCGAGCTGCATAAATACTCTGTCGTTCGATAACTGTGTAAAATAAAGCACGTTGCTGGAACTGTAACTTCAGGTCTTACCTTTGACCACTATGGCAGATGCAGGATGTGGGTGGAGCAGAAACAGTCATGTGGCGCGCTGGTTTGGATTTCGGCAACAAGTGACGCGTCTGCTCTGCCGCCTCTGATTGGACAGAAAATTAGCAAATGAGAGGAGGCCGAAACGCGTATGATAAAAACTTTTGAAGATTTTTATTATGAGGTTTTTGAAACGTTTCTGTTTAGAAAATTCTTGGTTGGTTGATTGGTAGACCCTCGTTTTGCCATCTGGTTATTTTGTTTAGAGTAATTTGTAAAATATCCAACATTTTAAATGCTTGTTTGTTGATTGAAAACATTGAATAAAAATAGTGGAAAAAACTTTATTTTTGATACAAGAGAAGCATGGACAACTGTTCTGATTTTTTTTTTTTTTGTTTGTTTGTTTCACATTTCTATTGTTTTACATTTTTCACATTTTTTATTGATCTTTTGGTCAGACACATACAGAGAAAAACATACTTATTAGTTAAAAAAAAACACTGAAATATATTGTCTTTTTTCTCCTTTTTCATGGTCTGTCACATCTTTTTCTTATACTTTAACTTTACAAACAAGAAGAGTTAAAAAATCATAATAGAGCAAATCAATATGAAGCAGTGAAATTTAGAACAGCATGAGTATGATATATAACATAATAGTTACAAGACTACAACGGAGGGTACAAAACTGAACGCTTTTCTTTTCAACCAGATCTGAAGTGTAGGCTACAGCCCTAAGCGCTAGGGGGCGGCAGAGTGCCTAAGTTTATTGTCGGCCTCTGCTTACATGAAAGAAGAATTTCAAAGTCCTGTAACTATCAAATTTTATACCTGTCCTCCTTTTTGAGACACGAACAACGACTGACCGTGAGGCGAGGCAAGTTGTTTTGGTTTAATGTTGGTGACATTGTTGAATGTGATAAATTCACAAGTTAAAGGCTCGCCATAGTATTTTCGGTAACAGTAATGAAGTGAGATGAAGAGATAGAGAGGAGAGCTGTGATTTCTTATAGAGTTATACAGTTGACAGTATGACCTGTGGTAGAGTACTCCCCTAGCTAGCATGCGAGCTAGATCAAATACCAGAGCTTTTCAACACTCATGAGCTATTTTGACGAGTAAACAGTGTACATTAATAAATCTGTCTGTCTCTAATTTAACTCATTCAGATCAACCATGCCACTGCCAGCCCTCTCCCCCTTCCCTAAAAGTCAATACTTCAGAGCTGGCAATGTCATCTACGAGGTTAACATCAGAAGAGGCAGCAGCTACAGGCAAGATATTTACTGTATTAACATCTTCACAGTACCATATTTCTACCTTATTTCCTTTTGGATAGGAAAAAAGAAAAATGGGTAGGGGAGACTGGGTTAAGTTGAGCCACCCCCTGTTGCTTGGAAATGGTAAAAGAAATTGATAATGTGACCAAATATTTAGGAGGAAAAAAATCTCTGTGAGGCGGGATTTCACTCAGTCTAGCCAATGAGTCGGTTAAGTGACTCACAGGTGAGCAGAGTTTGCAGGAAGTCAAATGAGGTTGCTTGAAAATTCATGCTTACATTGTTTTCATAAACGAATATAAAATGTATTTGAAATCTCTTAAAACGTTAACTGGTTTGAAGGAACAAAAGTTATGTGAGATATGAACAGCTGAAAATGTTTTTAAAAAGAAAGAAAACCCTTGTAAAGTTTTGCATAGCATAAATTATTTTATTTACTTTAAGTTACTTTTATGTTTCTGTTTGCTTTTTGTTCTTCACTATCTACTTTATTTTATTGCCCTTCTGTTTTTTTCTTTCCCTGTCTAAACATGCATTGTCGCTTTCCCATATTGTTAAGTATTTCTCACTGATGTTATTTCAATATTGAAATTACTGTATCGAACTGATTATGCTATGTTTGGAATTAAAATTGTGTTAACTCCGAATAAAGCATAAAATAAATAAATAAAAATTCATGCTTACATATATGACTTGGAGCAGTGGTTCTCAAGTCCAGTCCTCGAGGCCCACTGTCCTGCATGTTTTGGATGTTTCCCTGCTCCAACACACCTGATTCAAATGATCAGCTCGTTATCAAGCTCTGTAATGGCTTAATAACGAGCTGATCATTTGAATCAGGTGTGTTGGAGCAGGGAAACTTCCAAAACATGCAGGAGGGGGGGGCTCGAGGACTGGACTTGAGAACCACTGTCTTAAAGAAATGTCCCGCACCATTTCATTTACAGACACCAACAGACTTGCTGACCTGAAAATAAAGTTCAATAGTCTCTTTTATTGGTTTTATTACAGATCTCTGGGTATTCATCAGCAAAATTTGTAGAAAACATGATACAAAGCCCTTACATGATTTTGTTAAAAATTTAATTAAAGAAAAAAATAAAAGAATTTGAAAAAATTAGTTGTATTAATTTGTTAGTTGTATCAATTTAGATGATGGCAAATGATATGTTTCATTAACAACCAAACACAGTTTTTGGTCAGGCAGGCAGCATTAAGGTTTTTGTTCTATAAATTGCATAGGTCACAATCAAACAGCAATTTCAAAGTCACTTACATTTGAAATGTTACTTAAACTCGATTATTCAGTCAAAAATTTTCCTTGAGTCTCAGCCATAGACTGTATATAGAATTGACATTGTCTGCCTCCTCGCCGGGTGAAGCCACTCCGAGAACAGCTGTAGACAAATTTTAGAAATTTATAACACAGAATATAGATTTTTCACCCCCCTACTTATGATGTTGACATGTAGTTATTGTAAGAACGATTTATGTTCAAGACCTCTTTTTTCTGTGCAACACTGTTTTTAAAAGTTATTAGGGGGTTCGTGTTTTCTATGATTGACACCTGATACAGCCTATGGGTGTACGAAGATTGTGTAGCTAACTTGGGGGATACGCTGCTTGAGCCAAGCGTAATCATAGCGACTCTCGGCAACTCTCCTGCCGAATGTGTACAACGCTACTGAGCAATGTTGGTTTCAGGAAATGAAGAAAAATTGTGGAAATACCGAGAGCTTTTCGGCTTCAAATCCGTATACTGGCAGGAGGTGGAACCAAGTTGTCCATAGTACATACAGTCTATGGTCTCAATCTACTGGCCGAATTTCTCTTCTCCTTCCATAATTTCATAATATTTATCATGGAAGATCATTTGTGCTCAACAATTAATGAGTCAAAGCACTTGTGATGAATCCACGCAGTACTTTTTCCCGCAGTCCAAAGCGGAGAGTTTGTCCATGTCTGTGTCACTCAGAGTGAAGTCAAAAATCTTGGCATTGTCCTTTATTCTGTCTGGATTTGCTGACTTGGGGATCACTGGTATCCCCTGCTGCACAGCCCAGCGCAAAAGAACCTGAGGGAAAAAAAACAATAACTTAAATGTTGCCCTTAAATGTGTTTATATATTCACTTATTATGATGTGAGGCTGGCTCCAGAATATGTTATCTAGAAGCTGTTTGTATTCCTTTTACCTGCGCAGGTGTGCGTGCACAGCTCTTTGCCACCTCATTGACCACAGGCTCAGTGGTAAGCTTTCCTTTTCCTAGAGATGAGTATGCTTGGAAACACACTCCATACTCCTGACACACTTTTCTCAGCTCTGTTCGGCACAGATGTGGGTGGCACTCATCCTGAAGAAAAAAAACACTTGCATTTGCACTGGCAGAGGGTACAAGAACAAACATCATTTTTAGGTTTAAAGTTTTTGACTTATTCCTCTCTTTATTGTTCTGTGTCTCACTTGTAACACAGCAGGAGGAGTTCTGCAACTCTGCAGCAGTCCCCTCATGTGTGCTGCCGTGAAGTTGGACACCCCTATAGCTTTCAGCTTCCCCTGGGCGTGAAGCTCCTCTAGTGCAACCCAGCTCTTAGCTCTGTTAACTGGAATCAAATATAAATGGGAATTATTGACAGCTCTAATAACTCATTTATTACTACATGGTCGATTTATCTAAAAAATCTCAGTATACTTGGCAAAATGTGCACAGAAGTAAAAAATAATGTACATAGATACATTATAGATACAAGATTTTCCATCTAACTCAAAGATGTTAATCATATATTGCCTGGTATCAAGTCAGTATTTTTTTTCTTAAGCAAAGATTTAATTTCCAAGAGCTACATTTAAATAAAGAAGAAAATCTCTGCTTGTCACTGTAATGATAATATATATATTTTTACAATAATGAAATGACTCATGTAAGTTGTTGATTTTGACAGCAGGAGCTACTCACAACTTCATAGTTGTCAGTTGAGTTTCTGTTTGCACACATTTTCACGGTACAGAGATAGCATAAGGTTTAGAGTTATCAGTGGCAGAGCAGCATTGTTAGCCTGTTTCCAATCTGACAGACCCCTACAATGAAGAACAGCCAACAGTCTTTATTTATATTGGGTTATGTGTTAATTCTGCAGGAATATTCTTTTAATTTCATCTATAAATTGTTTATGTCTGTACTTATCATTATTTTTACTACAGATTTATCCTTTGAAGTTTATGTGAGGAATTTTTAAGTGATTATGTGTTTGTGTTTCTAGTGTTGAAAGTAAGACGGATGAGTTTTTTTTACATATATCTGCAGGTTGAAATCAGCAAAGAAACTTTATGAACTTGGGTGCCAAAGTTGGAGCAAATGAAAGTTCCTAATGAAAAGGATAAATAGAAAAAATATAACTAAGATGCAGCTGTACAGAAATGACAATAAGTTATATCAAGAGTGGTCAGAGGTTTAATGGGAGGGAAAAAGGTAATGAAAAGCAAACTCTCCTGATTCTTTTTAACTCAATGTCACAGTACTGCAGTAGAGTTTTATCCAATAATCTGTCATCATTTTAGTATAAAACTCTGGATTAGTGGAGCAATAATAATGGGTCTGACCAGTCAACTTCAGCATCTTTCTCATATCCATCGAGAGGAAATAAGAAGGAAATAAGAGGAAATAAATAAGAGAGAAGTTGGCTTGGAGAAAGGAAACATCAAGCCAGAGACTTAAGGTAACTGTCTGCTTTTATCTGAGCTCTCTGTTCTTTACCTGGGTTGCAGGGGTCTGTGGCATCGAGACCCTCAGTGCCAGGGTCATGGATCAGGTAGAGGTCAATGTAACCCAAATCCAGCTGAGACAGGCTGTTAAGAGCTCCTTCCATGGCCTTCTCACCCTGATCTTTTGCGGACAGCTTGCTGCAGGGACATAAGTGGAGAGTTAGTCGTAGTTTTTTTTTTTTTTTCATACGAAAGACAAACATAAAAATTGGTTGTATTTCATCAATGTTTGTCTTTCATTTTATTGATATATGAGCTTATATATTTCACCTGGTTATGAATACATCCTGTCTGGTTAATCCATGTTTAGGCAGGAGCTCCTTGAGGGCTCTCCCAAACTCTGCTTCATTCTGGTACGCAGCTGCACTATCGAAGGCCCTGTAACCAGCCAGTAGTGCTGCGTCCACAGCCTTGGAGACATCTTCAGGAGACAACAATTTGTAGGTCCCCAGGCCCAAGAGGGGCATCCTGGCTCCTGTGTTCAGGAGGACAGACGGGTTGGTGGACGAGAGAGACATCTCATAAAGTAACTCTTCTTCTGGGCACCTATTTTGGATGATATGTTGGATAAAATTAACCCAAGAGAGAGAGATTTGGAGAGAAATCAATTTATTACAGACAAAATCAAAGATTCTTCGGTTTGGGCATTTCTAAGTTTACATGGATAGTATAGGCTAGGTGTGATACAGAATTGATCCCAATACTGTTACAAACAGACCCTGGTTTAAACTTAGCTGCATCATTACTTTTGGGTGCCCACATAAAAAGGTAAGCATTTGGATCAATCACCTGTTTTAAACTATAACTGCTGTTGTTGTTGCTATAAAGTCGAGCTGCATAAACACTCTGTCGTTCGATAACTGTGTAAAATAAAGCACGTTGCTGGAACTGTAACTTCAGGTCTTACCTTTGACCACTATGGCTGATGCAGAATGCGGATGTGGGTGGAGCAGAAACAGTCATGTGGCACGCTGGTTTGGATTTCGGCAACAAGTGACGCATCTGTTCTGCCGCCTCTGATTGGACAGAAAATTAGCAAATGAGAGGAGGCCGAAACGCGTATGATAAAAACTTTTGAAGATTTTTATCATGACGTTTTTAAACGTTTCTGTTGAAATATTTCTTGGTTGGTTGATTGATAAATCTTCGTTTTGCCATCTGATTATTTTGTTTGAAGTAATTTGTAAAATATCCAACATTTTAAATGCTTGTTTGTTGATTGAAAATATTGAATAAAAATAGTGGAAAAAACTTTATTTTTGATACAAGAGAAGCATGGACAATTGTTATGATTTTTTGTTTCACATTTCTATTGTTTTACATTTTTCACATTTTTTATTGATCTTTTGGTCAGACACATACAGAGAAAAACATACTTATTAGTCAAAAAAAACCACTGAAATATATTATGTCTTTTTTCTCCTTTTTCATGGTCTGTCACATCTTTTCTTATACGTTAACTTTACAAACAAGAAGACTTAAAAAATCATAATAGAGCAAATCAATACGAAGCAGTGAAATTTAGAACAGCATGAGTATGATGTATAACATATTAGTTACAAGACTACAACGGAGGGTACAAAATTGAACGCTTTTCTTTTCAACCAGACCTGAAGTGTAGGCTACAGCTCTAAGCGCTAGGTGGCGGCAGAGTGTCTAAGTTTCTTGTCGGCCTCTGCTTACATGACAGAAGAATTACAAAGTCCTGTAACTATCAAATTTTATACCTGTCCTCCTTTTTGAGACACGAACAACGACTGACCGTGAGGCGAGGCAAGTTGTTGTGGTTTAATGTTGGTGACATTGTTGAATGTGATAAATTCACAAGTTGAACGCTCGCCATAGTAGTTACTGTTACAGTAATGAAGTGAGACGAAGAGATAGAGAGTGGAGTTGTGATTTCTTATAGAGTTATACAGATGACAGTATGACCTGTGGTAGAGTACTCCCCTAGCTAGCAAGCGAGCTAGATCAAATACCAGAGCTATTCAACACTAATGAGTTATTTTGGCGAGTAAACAGTGTACATTAATATATCTGTCTGTTTCTAATTTAACTCATTCAGATCAACCATGCCACTGCCAGCCCTCTCCCCCTTCCCTAAAAGACAATATTTCAGAGCTGACAATGTCATCTACGAGGTTAACATCAGAAGAGGCAGCAGCTACAGGCAAGATATTTACTGTATTAACATCTTCACAGTACCTTCCATATTTCTAACTTATTTCCTTTTGGATTGGAAAAAAATAGAAAAATGGGTAGGGGAGGATGGGTTAAGTTGAGCCACCCCCTGTTGCTTGGAAATGGTAAAAGAAATTGATCATGTGACCAAATATTTAGGAGATGGTCATCAATTCGTGGAGTCTGTAAAGGTTAGAAGCTAATGGGTGAAGGGGTTAGACATTTATTTAAAAAAAAAAAAAAAAATTCACTCTTGAAAGTGAATTTAGTCTGTCATCAGTTTTATTAGAATTATGTTCAGACCAAAAAAGATCATTTAAAATTTTTTTATACATCAATTGTGGTATCTATGAGCTACATGAGGTCAGAAACCTAGCATAAAAGTCCACCATTTTAGTTTAGAGGACTAATAAAGTCATCATAGGCTGTGTCCGAAATGGATCCCTACCATACTTACATCAGCCAAACATAATTTTTCAAAGTAACAGACCTAAAGATGCTTTTAATACATATTTATACAGTAAATGTTATAAATGTGTGATGGTTATATCATAATGTGTGTAACGTATTGTCATCAGTGAAGAGGAAGTTATCGGAGGTGACTATTTCAATCAAGAACTGGAGGTAATTATGACTGCTTATCACCATGCATAATTGCTGAGATAAATCTTTTCATTCACACTGTTCGGTATGAAATTAAAATTCTGCCTGATTAAATGTGACATGGTTCATGTTTATCTCTTTTCTCCTTTTTTTTCTCAGGCAATTGTCAGGACTGTTCTTGGCAACCTTGACAGTCTTCAACCTTTCTCCAGTTCCCACTTCAACGTTTTCCCATGTATCCTTCAGAGTCTTTTGTCAGTTTGTTTATTCAATCAGGTTTACTTAATTGTACGTCTGGTTTTTACCTCATCTACCAATTCATTCCTGTGTTGACACGTTACATTTCTCTACCCTTTTTGCCTCTTTGTTACTTTAATACATGGGCATGAGCTCATGAAGAGACGTATCATCAGATCTCATTCAACTAGATATTAGATTTGTTTGTATCTTTCTCAAAGGACGACTATTCATGCTAAAAAGGTAAAAGGCAAAGTTTAAACCTATTTTAGTTGATGATACTCTTGCCGCTACACGCGTTTTCTTGAACATACAGCTATTGACCATCTGTTTGTTCTTCATCATGATAAGAATGCTGATTCATGTGAAGTTTGCTGTTTTTATTAACTGTAACTATCAGACATAAACCCGTGTAAGGAAGTGTCGCAGGTCATTTGCACTCAATGTGACGATAATCTCAGAGCTTACCCGTATGTTATCGTCCTCTACCTCGAGAAGAATATGGAGAAAGGTGAAGACGATAAGACATCACGAAAACGTATCATTGTTGAACAGTGACACACACTTCACAGTTATAGATCATGTCGATGGCTACTTGTGTAACTGTAACACGTGTTTTTTTGTTTCAGAAAGGCCAGCAAAGGAAGAGTTGAGCTCAGTGAGTTTTTATATCACAGTTTAGAGATGAAACAAAAAGTCCTCCTCACTTTTAGAAGTCTTTTTAGGCTCCCATAGATATCATTTGATTTGTAGAAATATTAATGATATTTAAGGTTTTTATTTTACATGTGTTTTTTCTTTCTTTATTGATATTTTAGATATTTTTCATTGATTTTTCAAACATCCTTGAGATTAATACTACAAATCTCCTCATTGAATTTACTTTTGGGGATCCATAATGTTCTTATTTTACAAATAAACACCCTGGATGTGATCAAGGACTGAAGCCAGAAGTAGAATCACAACTGTGTTAATTGTGTTAAGGTAAACAAAGTTTGAAAGGACAATACTGTGTGTTCTCTAGGAAATAGAAACTGTTTCTGAGCCCCAGTCAAAGCGCCGTCGGACAGATAAACCACGAGAGAGGTCCATACTAAAAGACGCAATCAATGAGTTTTTGGACGAAAGTGCAACCTCTGAGACTGAGTAAGTAATCTTTTTTCTGCTGCAGAGCAAACCTTCTTTTAGTTTTTTTAACTTGTCACATCTAAGTAGATGAAATCTAGTTTGGTAAACCTCTGTAACCCAGTCTATTTTCTTAAAGGCTGCCCTTTGAAGTACAGCATCTTAAATAACTGAGTTTGTTTTCAAGTGATTTTCAAAGCACAACTTTTTCTTAGTAGTTTGCTTGAATTTCAAATCATTTAAACCTTTCGTCTGCAAAGGTCTAGTGCAATATTACAATGTGTGCTATTTGCGAAATGTATCCAGTCCTGCACAAAGAAGTTATTCATTTAGCAAGTAGCCACTGGACACAGGCTGTAAACCAGTGATCAAAGCTGTAAATGACTAAAGATGGATGTGTATTGCTTCTAAACTTTAAAAAAATGATGCAGTAGGATTAAACTTGTAGTTTGTTGTTTGGTTGTGCAGGAAAATACATTTGCCATTTTTCTTTACATATATTAAGTCTGTGGTTTAAAGCTCCTGTGAGGAGTTTTTGATGTTTTTTTTTTTTTTTAATCTGGTAAATTTTAATGCCTTAAACTGACATGATGGGGTAGGTGTCAGCTTAACAGCTGAAGAAACAGCCCCCTTTATGCACTTTAAACATAAAATAATCACAACATTTGATTGTCAAAAGTCAGCAGGATGAGATTTTCTATCAGAAGATACGACTTGATACAAAACATAAGACTGCATTGTCTACAGAAGGTGCTAAAACTGACTCACTCAAAGTTCCTCTCAGGAGCTTTAATGTTGCATGCGGTATATACCAAGATAGAAGATATCACGCTCTTGAGAGCTACGTCTCCAAGCTAAGCCCTTTTCCAAATCTGTAATGTACTGATGATTTTGATTTTGATTAAATTAGGCATGTGTGAGTTGTTCCTTCTTGCAAAGATGCTGGTTTGTATAATGTGCAGCTGAAGATGATGGGAACAATAGCTTGTTCTTGCAAGCACTGTGCATGCCTTCACATACGCCTGTGCATCCATAAACTTACATGTTCTCATTCATTTAGTCATAGACCAACCATTCTTAAAATTGGCCTCTTCACACACACACAGATTTTGATGCTTCAGGGATTCTTGTGGTTATGAAACAGGCGAGAGGCGAACGGGCGCCACCTCAATCACACTGACAGTCAGATCACTGGGGCTGAAATGATTATTTAAACTGCACACACGAATACACACACACCTCCACACACACAAACAAGGTCTTGTCCTGTACTTGTTTGTTAATTTCATGCACAATAGTCGTCTTTTTTGAACTTCAGAAACACACTGAGATGCACCAACTGTGAAAACATCCTACTAACAACAAGGCCTCAAGCACCATTACCTGTTCACAGGAAATCAAGTGCCAGTGAGCAATTCTCATTCAATTACATTCACTACATTGATCATCACACTTTGCATGTCATAACAAAGATGCTCCGCAAGAATACACTCGCACATACTGACAGGATCAGCTATCGTCAGAGGCTTTTTAAGAACTGCTTATTCACCGATAGCATGTCTATTTGTGCGATATTACTGTGATTTTCTCCAGGTCAGTGACTGAGCCGTTTCGTTGGATGTGGAGGTTTGTTCTGGGGCTCATTTCAAATCATTGTTTTACAAATCCCTTTTCGATTTGATCCAGCTGTACTCCAGATAGGGCTGGGCGATAAAACGATAACGATGTATAACAAAAATTAATTTCCCTCAATATCAATATAAAACATGGTCAATATGCTTTTGGATAGTCAGCATTCTGCCATGTTTTGGTAGACTATACGAATAGCCAATGAAAAGGGGAGTTGCAACCATAGCACTTTAAAGCGTGAAGCCGACAGCACTGTCAGTGAGAAAAAAAGAAAGTGAGTGCTACCCCTGACAAAAATGCAGATAAAGGCTCAACAGATGATGACATCTTTGACATGAAAACGTCACTGGTGTGGAGGTATTTTGGTTTTTTGAGGTCAAACATGAAACAGAGTAATGTGCACTGCAAATCATGTCAAATACGTGTTCTCGCAAAATCAGGGAATACCTCAAATCTTTTTCACTACCTGCGCAGTGCCACGCGGCAGAGCACGCGCAATGCAAAAGGTTACAAACCCCAAGCGGAGCAAGGAGCCCATGGCGCCTGTGCAGCCAAAACAGCCGATCATTCAGCCGACTTTCTCTAGCGCAATGCCTTACGACAAAACGTCCAAGAGACACAAAGACATGCTACCAATAAGCACTCTCAAATTTCGTTTTCATATCGCGATATATATCTGTATCGATATATCTCAAAAATATCATGACCAACTTTTCCCCTTATCGCCCAGCCCTAACTTCAGATAATACAGATGTGATTCAGTGTCTATACCGTCACCAGTGTGGGCTTCTTTTTTTGTGTGTGATTTAAAAAGCCAATCTTGTCTCTTTGGGCTCAAAAGAAAAGTAATGCAGCCACACAGGGATAAACTTGTCTGTGCCCAACTTCAGCGAGCAGCATGTGGACAATTTCTGCATGGAAGGAGAGGCCAAAAAAGATCCAGGACAAGTTGACAAGGTATATTCATTCAGTGAGGTCATTTACTCATCAAATTTAACTGGTTGGCTGATATGTCACTGTCTGACATCTCTGAGTGAAGGAGTTAGTCAGCTTAGCCCACAGTAGTTTAGATTGAACTGAATCCAACATTGTCTTCCAGTATCAATCTCATAACACACTTTCGTTTCCTCTCTGCCACCTATATAAACACACACTTGGAGCATCTCTGTTTTTATTGTAGCCTCAGGATAGCATTTGCGCAGACAGGTAGGATAACAAGTGTTATTAAGGATAGTAATAGCATTACATCAGATTGAGAGTACATGTTCCTGTGTGTTCCTGGTGATGTGCTTTAGTCCTAAAATTACCCGCCCATCACTCTGTTTTAATCAGCGGCACTTCATCTCATCTGATCCTGTGAGTTTTGAAAGTTGTCCACTCTGACAGTGATTTTTCTACCTCATTCATCGCTCGGCTTTCATGTTTCCACTTAAATTATTTTTAGCTGGAAAAATGATTTAAACTCATCATGTCAGCCTTTTGAGTTATTTATCTTTGACAAAAACATGCCGGTACAAGTCTCCCAGCTGTAAAAAGGACGGAGATTGAACACTGTCTGCAGAGCATTATTCTGCATAAATGTTGTTTTTTCACGCATACAATAAGTCTGTTAAAAACAAAGATCTTAATAAATAAAGCGTTATCAAGTTTGAGCTCACTGTCAGAGTGGACAGTTTGGTCCTCCCCAAGGTTTCGGCCTGTTAAAAGGAAGTTTTTCCTTGCCACTGTTAGTCATGTTAGATGAGATGGGCCAAATCCCATTTTAGGTTGGGTCTTGATAATTCATCAAACAACGAGCGTGGTCTAGACCTGCTCCTTTTCTTTGGAAAGTGTCTTGGGATGACAGCTGTTGTGAATCGGCACTATATAAATTAAATTTGATCAATTGAATTTGATTGATTGATAAATAACCTTCAGTGCTGGAAAATGAAGCCAGTGCAGAAGTGCAAACAGCTGCTGTCCCTCTAGTATCCATTGAGACTAACTCTTCGTTTTTTTCTTCTTCTTCTTCTTTTTTTATGCACTGTGATCTCAGGATAACGACTTATTATCTTGTTATCTCGGGATAACAAAGGTCATTTTCTTGTGATAACAGAGATGGCGTTTAAGCGGACCTAAAATGGAAACTTTTAAAACACTGATGGCATGCTCCACTTTGTGTGCTTTCAACGTGGGAACATTTAACCGCCATGGGTAATTTGGACAACAACAGTAACAATGGCGGACACATTATTAATTAATGCCTTATCACGAGAAAATGATATTTGTAATGTCGAGATAATGAGATAATAAGTCGTTATCACGAGATAACAGTACATTTAAAAAAGGAAAATCCACGTCTGTTCTCATTTTCCATCCAAGTGGCTCATCTTCATAGTGGAAATGAAAATGTTTAAAGCCTGTTGAAAGTTTTTGTCCCTATTTGTGACAGCTAAAGAGCTTTTTATTCCCTTCCCCCCCTTTTTTATTAATTATTAGGCAGTCTCATTGGAGCTGTTTACTCAAACTTTAGTCTTTTCCTTTTTTTTTGGATTAGCCAAATAAAGAGTCAGCTTTTCAAATGTGACGACCATCAACTTTGGGCTTCATAACCACTCTTTAGAAACCAGGGACATCACTGAGACTGTGTCCATGTTTTATACTGTCTATGATAGGACATACTGATACTCTGTTAGCTGAGCTTCACCACTGGAGTGATGTTCATACTAGGCTGATCCAATTTTTAATTCTGGAAAGATATGCATGTAGTTTTAGAAAGTTAGCTCCCAAAGACTGAACTAAAATAGTTTCTCATGGAAAAATTCAAGCCTGCATAAGTTGTGACGGAATGATCACAACTGCTGTTTGCACTTTTCAGTCGCTCTGAATTTGTACTACTTATGCAAAACAAACTTATTCTCTTTTTTGTTTCTTTTATCTAATTTTTATGTGACTCTTTTCTTCAGAAAGAGACCAAGGGGCTTGTTGAACCCCAGCAGAAATCTGATGTCAGCACCACCAGAGGAACTGAGACTCCAAGTGAGGAGGAGGAGGAGGATGACGACGACAAGGATGACGAGGAGGAGGACGAGGATGATAACGAGGAGGAGGAAGAAGAAGATGCATCCTCTGTACAAGGTTCTGCAGTAAAGCCTGGGTTCCTGACTCGACTGGCCAGGTTAGCATACGTCGGCATGTACACCTACCATCAGTGCAAGCCAGATCTACAGCAGTCATTCTAGCAGCTAATGATTTTTCCATCAGCGTACAACAAAGAAGCAGAAAAATTAACAACAGGTCCACATACCTGCACACAGCAAGGGGGAGGTTCTGATCGTCTGTTGTGCCCCAGGAGAAACAGTCTTTAATTCTGCATATGAGACACAGATTATATCAGATGGGAGAAATCAAGCTAGTGTCTGTTGAGACTAGGGTTGGGTATCGTTTGATTTTGAACGATTCCGATTCCGATTTCGATTCCTCATTTCGATTTCGATTCCTATCGATTCTTTATTTCGATTCTTTTAAAAGGCAGGATATCATTAAAAAAAAGCATGGTTTGAATGAGGGCGCTAACCGGAGCTCTTCTTTTTGGATGTAATTTCTGAACTTCTCCATGAATTTTTAAATCATATTAACTTTTTAGGAACTTTACTATGAATTTCTCACATTTTCAACAAGTATATAAATATCATTTTTTGTTGTCAGGTCGTTTGTCTATGAAAAAGCACAAGGGCTAACGTTAGTTGGATATTTAAGTTGACCCACCGTACTCAGTGCAATTTGTTTACCGCTTCAAAGTTAGCAGAGGATAGAAGTAATTTATTGTTTCACTTATCTGATCCTGACTGGTTAGCGGAAGACAGGTGTTGTGCCGTAGAATGCCTCCCCTCCACTGATTAGCTTCTTAAAGTGGAAGACAATGATCTCATATTTAAAAAAACACGAGTATTAGATCATGACATGTCAAATGGAGCAGTAAACTTTCGTTTCGTTTTTCTGTGTCTCAGAAACGCACACATAGAGGTGTACTTGGGTATATAAACTGTACAGTAAGCTGTTAATGTAGAGAACATTATATTTTCCGGACAGTAAATATTCAGAATCAGAGGGCTGTTGTTTTCGGCATATCTGAATAGCCTGAATGAAATCATTAAAGGCACACGCTTTAGATTCCGTTCAACGGTAAGGAAAACTTGGATTGTTTCGCCTTGTTGTGTACTTTCAACCGCGCTCCCGTCAGGGGTGCATTCAACAGCAGGGGTGCATTCTATGGCATAACACCGGCGAAGCGCGTCAAAGACGAGCACTCGGGTATTTCTCCTCCATGAATCCTGAGGTGTTTAATCATGTTTGTCGTTTACCCTCCTTTGCATGATATAACTGTATTGCTAATGTTGCACTGAGATAAGAGCTCATTCTTCCTGCTAAAGTTAGCCAAACTTTTGACCAACGAAGAAGAAGCTGCCGAACACCAACGAGGACGGAGCGTATGAGACGAAGTCACACAGAGAGAGGAGAGAGACAGAGAGAGATTACATTGTAACCCACAGCGGCTGCATTGCTGTGGGTTGCAATGTACTTTCTCTCTCTGTCTCTCTTCACTTTCTGTGTGGCTTCGTCTCATACGCTCCGTCCTCGTTGGTGTTAAGCGGCTTCTTCTTCGTTGATTTTCGGCGGCTATTTCTTCCGGTCGGCGGACTCCGGCATCGAAACTTGGAATCGAAATTTTTATATTTGAACATACCAGAAGAATCGAAGTTTTAGTCTCGATTCCCATCGATTCTCGATTCTCGATACCCAACCCTAGTTGAGACTAGATGAAATGACATCCTAGAAACATATAAGACAAACAAAGTGTTCACAGATTTTATCAGATGTACATGTGAAGTCTTGTTGTATGAGTCCATGGTTCCCTTACTCTTGTGGGCAACAGTGAATATCCTTCTGTCTCTTTTGCAGAAACGTCTTTCCCTTCTCCTTGCTCTTCAAAGATCCCTGAGAGCTGCAGCAGACACAGAGGAGGCTCTACTCAGCCCGGTCTTGGAAAGTCTTTGGGTTTTGGATAAAGTCCTGCAGCATAAAAACAGTGAATTTGTGTTTCTTCAGTAGCTGTAGTTTGTGTTTTCTTCACGGTTCTTGGAAATGTTACTAAAGTTCTTCAAACATGTTGCTACTGCTAAAGATGGAAAAAAAAGCTCTTGCTCTGTTCGGGTCTTTCTTTGGTTGCTAATTGTTGATTTCATGAAATTAAAGTTCATCTCATTGATTAAGAAAGACTAAGGATGTTTTTTCTCCATAGCAGTGATCAGGGATGACCGAAACCAATAATAATTTTTTTTTTACCACTGTTTGAGCTACATTTAGACTCCTTTATTTTGTTTTATAAACGCATGTTTAAGTTCTCTTTCATAACTTTAAGAGTATTTCAAGCTGGAGAGAGTTCATTACAAGTTAAGGATGTGATGAGGACTTGATGAGATGAACTGGAGGTGACTAGAATGAAGGAAGGTTGCAGTAAACAAACTGAAATAACAAACAGGCAGCAAAAAAGGAAAAGAGCAGGATGATTGGTTGATAGAGCTTGTGTGGAAATCTGGTTGGGTTGTTAAAAAGTTAGTTTTTATTATCAGCAGTTCAGAGCTAAACAGATAAAGCAGTTTCTGCCATGGAGAGTTCAAAATGTCTATCAGGGATTGATTGTCTCATATACTATTTCAGTACATGATGTCAAGGTCCAGAGTTCAACAAAAAGGAAAGGGCCCAAATGCAGAACAAAAATGATTTATTTAAAACGAACTCAATAAGAAGCAACAAAAACACAAGAGGCAACACCAAGGAACCAAAAAAATCACTGAGGACAAAATCACAGGGAGCAGTTGGGGAGTTAGGCATACACACAGAGACATCGACATACAACACAGCAATGAACCAACAAACAAACCGGGGAAGAAAAGGGCTATATGCACACAGGGAAACGAGCAACGAGAGGCAGGTGAGACACTGAGACACAGGTGCAGACAATTACAAAGGAGGGAAAAATGAGAAAGTAAAATAAGACTAGAAACACAGGGAATAAAATACTACAAAATAAAACAGGAAACACTGAAAACTGATCTAAAGAATAAAACACTGAGAACAGGAGGGAACCGGGGTCAGACACAAACTGAAAACTCACAAGACAAGACCACAGGGGAACAGGAACACTAGGGAAAATCACAAAGAGAATACACTTCAGGGAAAAACTAAAAACCAGAACATATCATGACACATAACTAATTTACAGCTCAGGTGGTTTTAGTGATACTGGTTAAATAATTATAAGAATTAGTAATTTTCAGGTGAGTTTTATATATTTTTGTCAGCAGTTTAGGATCTGTTATTCTAAAGGAAAAAAACAGTCACAAGTTTCAGAACAATGACTGTATGTGTCCTAAGCAGATGAACTCAGAGCGGCACATTCCTAAGCTTTATTCTCGTAAATGTTGTAGACAATGCCCACTCTCTTTCTTCACAATTTTCCACTCCTGCATGTGTGTATTTTTGTGTTCGTGTCTTCATAAGTGGACACCTTGAGCTCTTGTGAGTGTCACCTTGTGGAAAATCCACTTTTGTGCTGTCAATCTAAATTAACTAAGTGTCCTATCTTTGTGCGTTTGTGTTGGCGGTGCTGTAAGTGTGCGTGTTCGTGTGTTTGGACTTGTATTTGACAGTTTACGGTGGATGCTTATCCTCTTTTACAAAACTACAAGAAAGAGGGTAAATGATAAATTTTAAAGAACTCTGTATCTGTGTCTGCATGTGTGTGTGTTTCTGCATGCACGTGGCAATGCCTGCATGCGTGTGTTTGTACATGGGGGTAAATGGGTCAACTAGACGACAACATCATCTTAGAAACAGGAAAACTTTGCCTAATCCTCTCCTTATATTGTCATAGAGCCCAAAATAACACACACATCATTTATCTTGCAGTCACATCCACTTAAACACTCTGACCACACACAATATCCTGTCAAGCATCACACACACACATATATACACACACTTCCAGAATAACAGACACAGTTATATCAAGTCCAAAGTCAATTCAAAACATATACACACATACAGACACTACTATACAGACACACATATATTACATTTTTTAATTCACACACAAACACATATACACACACATTTATGTAAGTCCTTCACTTTGAGATTATAATAACAGGGAAGAGGTGGAAGGGGACACTAAATGATATTACAGTTCTTCAAGACGCCATGGTTTCCACGGCAGCCGAGGAAGACGGGGCCACTGACTGATACAAACATCAGTCACCCGGCTGAGTCACACGAGAGAAATTCATGTGAGTGAATGAGAGAGAGAGAGAGTCTCAAGTTCAGACTAACAAAGTTCATTCATGTCTAACTCCCCCCTGATGAGGTGTTGTGGTCCATTCAGATCTATAGTCTCTCTCTCTCTCTCTCTCTCTGGTTGGCATGGAACCAGAAGAAACACACACTGTGTCTGTCCTTGCAACTTACAATCAACACACTAATTGTTTTGCATCTTAGTGTGTGTGTGTGTGTGTGTAGGTGGTGGTGGTGGGGTTTAGGTGATGAAGTCACACATTCCGTTTTCCATTGACTTAACTGGAGTGGGAATGTTTGGAGTAAAGGAGCCATAAGACGATGATTGTGTTTTCCTTCGGATGTGAGTGTGTGAGAGTGCCGTGGTGGAAGACAGAGCATCTTTTTCAATATTAAGAATTAAGTAGCAACTGCAACCTGTGTCTTATTTTTCTTATGAGAATATATTGATTCTATCACTAATGGACCCACATTTTGTTATTTGATCAATTTAAGCTGCAGGAGGGCGATCAGCTGATGACAAACAAACTAAAGAGTGAAAAAATTATGCTGAAACATGTCGTGACGTTCGAACAGATTAAATATGTTGCTCTTGCAAGTAGTTTCAACCTGATTTCTAAGTCTGCATTTGTGTATTTCTTACTTTTTTAACACATAAATAATCTTAAAGTCCCACTCTGATCATTTTTTTACTATTTAAAGTGTTCTCAGTGGTCTTTAAACTGTGATTCTGAAGTTTTTAGCCGAAATCAGGTTACTTGTGTCATTTTCAAGGACTTTTCCTCTGCAGAGCTTCAGTAGCTCATTAGTAATTCACCTCTGAGTTGTGGGCGGAGACAGCGCTCCCAGCCTAACATTGCCGGTGGAGTAGAAGTGGCAGGTAACATAGGAGCTATTGAGCTCTCAGACACTAATGTCTTTGGGGACATGATAAGCTGATATCATAATAAGCTTTCTTAAGACCGTTGCAATCCACTAACGCTAGCTTGATTTGTGACCGTCCTCTCTACTTTTCCGAGTCCAACCTGCATAGCCGGGTTCTGGGGGTGGAGCTTGGATTTGCTACGTAGGAAATCTCACTCTGTCCGGGCCTGGTGTTTGGATCTGCCAGAGATTCACAGTGATTTGAATGCAGAAATACTCAGAAATGCAATTCCACACTTACTTTTGTCATGATATGTCCTGTAGCATATGAACATGTAGATAACAAGAAAAACATGATTCTTATTGGAGTGGGTCTTTAAAGACATCAACTTTCATATTTGCTGGATAAATACGTTACTGCAGCTTAGGTTTTCAAGGAACGGTATATTTTTATTAAAGTTGTGCAAAGGTCATCCTGAGAATCGAGTTTGTCTCTCCACAGGATGAAAGACAGAAGCTTGTGTAGCTTAAAACCCTAAATTAAACAAAGATGAATATAACACCTGGGATTAAACCGCAAAATAAAGAGTTCAAGCAAAACGTGAGTCTGAATCACACGCTGGATCACATCCAGGACTAAAATTGTTCTTTCACAGGAGAATCATTTATTTTTATGGCCCTATTTAGGTGGGCTTACAGTGTCACAGTGGGCTCCACTGACCCACAACAGTGATTATTTCCAGCCTATTCCAAACTCCTTAGGAAGTCTCATTGAAAAACCAAAAAACCTCAGTGAGCTGATTCGGATTCCTGCTGTTCCAGCAAGTTGAGACATTTGTTACTTCACCCCGAAACCCAGACTCACATGGATACTCAAAGAGAGAAAACAAAAGAGATCCAGTGATGGGGTTTTTAAATATTTTTCAGGGAAGTAATCATAGTCATCTGTGGTCTGATGCTGCAGTTTGTTACTCCTGCAAATGTCCAACAAATAATCTAAGAGTCTATTAAAAGATCGCTTTACCCGCAGGAGTTTGGGAGGTGGTTGCTAAGCTGACAGACCCGGCTCAAGACAAGAGGGACGAGAAACAGAGCCAGGCGTTCCCAACAATATGCCCATCATGTGCTACACACACACACACACACACACACACACAGATGACCCAAACCCACAATATCTTCTGACCCAACCCTGCCCTTCCGCCTGTGGCCACAAATGGAAATCCAGGCAGCATTTTTTTTTAAGTGTGTGTGATTCACTTCTCTCATTTTGTGATTTTGATAGATTACTTAGTTGGTAAAAAGTGTCAAGAGAAGCCTTTTTTTATTTCTTCATTGATTTATTTATCTATAGCTGTTTATAATCTATGCATTTTTCTCCACGTGTGTGTGTTCATGCATGTGAGGTAAAGCTGTGTGAGTTCTTACTATTGTGGTGGTGCAAGGATGGAAAAGCTATCTAGTTTTCCTCTGTGTCACAGCAAGCGGTGCCCCTAATGGTTTAAAACAGGGAGAGAGGAGAGACTCGGAGATAGGACCACAAGTTCAGAGAAGAAGTTCAAGTTCAAATCCTCATTTTGGAGGAAACATCACTTTTTGACAGGTAGAAATTGTAGAAGAGGGGGTAAAAAAAAGAAAGAAGAAAGGATTCACGAACTCTCAGCTCTCTAATTGTGGGTGTGTCCACAGCTATAAGTGCCTCCACTCGTACCTGTATTACTTATATCCCTGGATGAGGCGCAGAACAGACATACACACACCTGTCAGTCGACACACCTGCCTTGCACTTCAAGAGCTGCACTTTCTGCTCTACAGTCCGTCTTCAGGTAAGATTAAGCTCTTTTTTACACATCAGTCTGCATGTTGGAGAAACAGATTTTAAGTTTGACAGTGCTCTTTTTCTTGAAATTGATGATTTATTCAATGTTTCATAGACGGCTGTATGTTTTGAAAATATGAGAAATTGACTTAAAAGGTAATATTTACTAAAATCAGTGACAAATTTGGAAAAATAAACCTGAAACCTTTGTAATCTGATTGTTTTGAAAGTTTATATACAGTAAAGAAAACATGAGAAATGGATTTAACACAAATTATTTTACAAATTAAATTACACCCTTGTAATCTGAATATTTTGAAAGTTTATATGAATTAAGATTTAAAATTTTCATACGTTATTAAGTTCTGATTCTACTGGCATCTCTTGAATTAGCATTAATAAGTGTGTTAGATGCTTAAGTTAAAAAAGTTATTTCCAAACATGCAAAATTCCTCATCAACTTTGACTTTTTCTTAAAAAATGCAAATGCCTTTCAGTTTTATGGTTGGTTTTATTTTGAAAGTCATTACTGTCCAGATGAGTTTATATCACTGTAAAAAATAAGTGTGTCATAAGACTGATGGGCAATGTTGATTTTTCATTTAAAAAGACAAAATATTGTGATTCTGGAACATTACATAACAAAATAAGATACAACAAAATGTGCCTCCTGTTTACTTCTGGTTATCATTTGCTCTACAATTTTTTTTCTGTCCTTCAGAGTTGAAAGATTGAACCCAAATTCACTATTTTGGTATAAATAAATAGAAATAAAAGCCAGACTTTTTGGAAATAGTTAACCAAGGTTTCGTTTCACTTAGTATATAGAGAACTCTACTGATGGTAAAAACTACAAAAAATGTGTGCATAACTGCAGTATTTGATGTTTATGTTTGTTGTTTTGTCTACTGCTGAAAAATGTCTGAAATAATAATGATAATGACAAAAAATAATTTATTAAATTAACATAGAAACACTTAAACCTTTTAGTTTCAATGACAAATTGATTTAAATGTTTGTGTATGTTCATTTACGACATTAGTATTGGAACTTTTCTGGGGGGGGTTTATTTTGTGTTGTTTTGCTATATGGTGGTCCAGAACAGCAGCCCTCCCACTAACATACTACAGCCCACTTTCCTAAAACACAAGCCAAACCTTCAGGCGTGGAAACCCCACATGAGAGGAAAAAGCAGAGCATTTACCCCGCTCCCACCAGCTGACATTGGGTTAATGTCCTCACACACACACACACACACACATACACACATACATACACACAGTCATGACCTGTTAATTTGGTCATACCGGCAGTGTTAATGGCGTCCCCTGGGCCGTTCCATCATCACCATTGCAGCTATTCCCAGTGCTCAAGTTGGAAGGAAGCGGAGCTGGAAATAACTGCCATTTTAGAGGTCAAGGGTCAGGATCGTGGAATTCCAGGGAAATCATGACTTTATTTACACACGTGTTGGGGTGTGAACATGTGCATGTATGGACACTAACTCAAGATCAAACATGCATGTCTGCACATACGGTGTGTACATGTTCCTGCCAGTGTGAGGGAAACTCAGAAAAGGAAAAGTCTTCCTCGAACGCCTCTACAAGTCCCTCCTGACACTGTGCACTTACCTGTGTCAGCAGGTAGCTGTTAAATGAGGCGGGTAGAAAAGAGAGTGAAAGACGGTACTGTTTTTATTCACATTAGCTGACACTCAGCTGAGTGACACAGGTAGAAATGCAGGATGGGAAATAACCTATTAAATCAGGGGCTGTGGGCAACTCTTTGAAGAGGGAAAGTTTATGAAAGGAGATCACCTCAGGTTTGGTAAAATCTCAACTCAGTTTGATGAAGCCTCAGTTTCTGCAGCTCGAAAATACACATTTTTAAGATCTTTAGAGTGGTCAGGATAACTTTTTCTCAAACTTCATGACCTTTTGGGGACAAAGTAACTCATTTTATTTAGTTTTATTTCTTTAGTTTTAATCATTTTTACACGTTACCCTCTTGCATGCCCCCTAAATCATGGCAACCTTTTATACAGTCCCTGCCTACAAAGTGAGAAAAACCTGCACAGAAGAACAAAACCATCAAATATTAATGTTTTTTTCTCAAGTGACCTTCAGCTATTTTTTTTTTTTACTAATTTTATGAAGCCGGATCTACGCCTTTTTAACACATCTTAATAAACAGTGAGATTTCCCTTGCCTTGAAGTAACTTTTGTTCTTGGTGTCCTTTTTGGATCTTACAGGTTGCCATCCAGATGTCGCTGTGCATGACCCCACATTTCTGCATGCTGGTCCTTCCAGTGATGTCGCTCCTGCTACTCTTTTCTCCAATCAGTTGGAGCCACGATGGCCCTACCCCAGGGTGTCACTTACACCGTGAGTAGTGATGGAGACACTCTCAAACCAGCCGAATTTTTACATGCTTTCTTAGCTAATACAAGGTTTAAGGTAAATGTGGTCCAGAGGTTGGATATCAAAGTTCTGATCGAGAAATGTCCGAGAAATGTTTCACTGTGAGAAAATTTCTCTTTGAGTCAATTTTTGTCCACCTTGAAGATAAAGTGACACCTAAATTATGTTTTCTGACAAAAAAATCTCACCCTGCTTTCTTTGAACATCAAAATAAATCACTCTTCATAGCTTACTCCATTTAACTCTGCAAAATATATAAATAAAAGGGTTTTTGCCTCTTTAGTAACCACCTTGCAGCAGTTACAGGCATAAACAAATGCTTCATAGGAATTGCCAGTCTTGATGGTCTACTTTGGTTTCATTAGCCATATAGAGGCATCACTATTTATTTCAGTCTGACTAAGTTTTTAATTTTCCCCTGCCCTCCAGCCTTCAATGTGACCATCCGCAGTGATCGCCGTGGCACATGTAAAGGTACCCACCTGGTCTATGCCTGTGTGGGCTACTGTGAGTCCAGTGCCTTCCCGTCCAGATACTCAGTGCTCGTGGCATCAAACTTCACTCACAACATCACCTCTGCTTCAAGATGCTGCACCATTAGCAAGGATGCTAAGGTAAGTGTCTCATGTTGTGCTGAATATGAGAGCAAAGTCGACTCCAGCCTTTAGTTTCTGTCTGTATTATTATTATTTCATCATGTCATCTTGCTTGTTTTCTCTAAGGTCAAAGTTCGCCTGGACTGCCCTCGAGGTCGTTACCATGATGAAATGGAGATCCTAACAGCAAAGGCCTGTCGTTGCGACATGTGCCGCAAGTCCCGCTACTGACACAAACAAACAGCGCTGTCTGTGTGTGTACCAGAACCAGAACTGGACTTCGACATGCAGTACAAACAGTGATTGTCACACAAGATTTCCAACAATTCAGCTTCTTCTATCTTAATCCACACAGAAAATACAGCTTTAAAAAAGCCTTTCAAAAAGTTTCTGTCAATGTGAGTGTGTCTGCATGTGTGGGTGTGTGTGAGTCCGTGTTAGCAATGTGTGTGAGGTTCTCTGAAAAACTTGACTGATACACATTTTTGTGTTAAAGGCTGAACCTTTGTTTTTTTTACTTGGCTTTTAGGCTTGACACACTTGACTTTATGAGCAGCTAAAAAATAGTTCCACTGTTTTTTGTTTTTTTTTCATACTGCTACTCAGTAGTTTGTGTAACTAAACAGACAGTTCAGGATTCCAACCAATCCTACTCACTACCCAAGAAGACCACCTTTCATTTCAGTTTCACATTTTGAACTCAACAACAACAAATCATCACATTTACAACAGTTACGTCTCGTTTTATTCTACTTTTAATTAATTAAAAAAGTCAATATGTTGCAAACATTTGGATTCAGCATTAAAATCAAACACAAAAAGTTTCATTCATTCTTTGCAATAACCACTATCCATCAACAAAAGACCAAAGAATGTACAAATTTTATTTATATTTATGGATTTGAACTAAAAGGCATTTTGTAAATAGTATCTTTTGATGAAATCAAAGAATGTTGAAAATGTCAATGAAATTTTAAAAAAATGCACTGTATAGTTTTGTGATTGAACTGTTTTTTTTTCTAATAAATTTCTATTCTGCAACTATAAAAACACTTCTTTCCCTTCTTTTATACTGCACACACAAACTAAAGTTGGATTTGTAAGACAAGATAAGATTAGAAGAACTTTATTGAGGGAAATTGAATTTATTAGTTCAATGTTTTGGCTTACATAAATTCTGTATCCTCTAGCCTACATTTCTTAACCTCACCTTAACATTAAACTCATCTTCGCATCAGATTGAGGTCTTAGCCTTGAGTCTGATCAGGTTTGTTGTGAGTCTTTGTCCGTTAATTAAAGCTGAATGCTCATTTAATGAGGATGGACCTCTGTTGACCTCACTGTCTTATTGTTTAGTTTCAATCCTGTAAATCCTCAACAGAACTAACTAAAGTTAAGATAGGCACATGCATGAAGTGAGTATATACTGAGGTTGAATATCAGGGAATATTTCAAGGAACCCAAAGGTTTCTTGAGTTTCTTCTTGAAAGTTTTTCAAACAATAAAAAAAGTCTCAGCTGGAATCTCTAAATCACCAACTGTCCTGCAATTAACATTAAGACCTTTTCGTCTTTTATCCCATGCTTTCCATTCTGTTTTGATTGAATGAATGAAGCTGCCTAATAATATATTGGTGACTTAACAGGTAAAGTACAACAGGCAAAATTCAGATGGCATTGCCAACGTCTCCAATTATAGTAAATAATAACGTTGTTTTCAAATGTGTAATGCTTTCTCTGTCATTTCTCCTTTTTTCACATACAAGCATATGAATAGACAGTCTTGAATCAAGATAAAGATTTATGGGGATGTCAGGTTTTTACCAAGCTAAAAAAAGAAATGTATTGACTCAAAAGTCTTGGTTGAATAATTTTATTGAAATTCATCAATAAAAACTTAACTACTGACAACATTAATGGGCGTCCTGGTCATCAGAAGGTCTCACACTCGGTGTCCTGAGTGGAGCAGACAGAGCAGTGGCAGTGAAGCGCTATGGGGTAGTGGTACAGAGGGGACACATTGGGCTGGCAGCCGGGTAGGCGGGCGGTCATGTGACGTGTACGACTGTATGTACACACTCGATGATGGCGGTGGATGTAGGGAGGCTCCAGAACAGGTTTCTGCAGGGTTCACACACACACACAAGCAAGTGGACAACATGTTACTTTGCTCTCAATCAACAAATGAGTCTTTAGATAATACATCATCAAGACAATGACAGTGACTGCAACATCTTAAAAGCTTTTTATCATTGTAGATTTTCAGTCTTTCTTTATTGTATCAAGTATATACACTTGAATTTAAAAAGACACTATCTTCCTTAAAGCTCCTACAAAGAGTTTTTTGAGATTCAAGAAATGGACTGATATTCATGCTAATGCCTTTTTGTTCTATCTGAAAGCAAAGAACACTATCAGCAACATGATTGATTATTTTTATGTAGTAACTTTTCATGCCTAAAACCAGTTTGAGGGGGGAGGTGTAAGCTGAGCAGCTGGAGAAAAAGCTCTGTTTTTTACAATTTCCGCATAAAATGTTTATGACAAGGGCTTTGTTTCAAATAAATATTTGAGTAAGTAGAGAACAAGATAGGCAGGGACCACTTTGTCTACAGAAGGAGCCAACAAATAACTGAAAGTTCCTCACAAGAGCTTTAATCATGGTAGTGAAAGCATATTTATTTGTTGAAAAGCTAAACTGAGTAAAAGGGCTTTTTTTCAGTGATGTTACCTTCGTCGCTGTGGAGAACTTAAGGATGCCTTAAGAAAGACTAAAGAGACTCTTGAGATAAGGCAGATTTTTAGAAGACACGTTCAATTTATGAGCTCTTGAGTTGTTGTGTTGTGTACATACAGATTATTTTATTCAAAACACTTCTCTATCTGGAGTTCTTATTCCTCTAAAGTTGTTTTTTCAATCACTGACAGCAAGAGTTAAGGTCCTGTAAAACTGAAGTGATTAAATGAAAGTTCAGAAACCAAACCCTGCTTGGAAGGGTTTTGGTATTTTATGTGACAATGACGTATATGGGTCATCAGCTCACTTATGGTTTGGGTACTGTCCCGCTTCATCAATCATTCATTTGATTCTCAGCTATTCCCGCATTACAAAAGCATGTAGATACAATAACGGGAAAGAGCAGGATCTCAATCTAAGCTTATAGTTTCTGATGGCTTTGTTAACAAATGATACCTCCCAGGTGTGACAGCGCCCCCAGCAGGCTTCAGTAGTGATGCGCAGTCCCTTGCAGCCAGGCTTCTGGGCCACAAAGGAAAACTCTCTCACCGCACATCCTCGGAAACCTTGAAGTGTGGTTGTCACAGCAACACACATCACTGCTGCCCCGGCGATGAGGAGGAGGACAGAGAGGGAGAGGGGATGGAGATGCATGCTGGGAATTAATGGGAGAGAGAGAATTACTCATATTATCAGTTTCTCAAAGTGACTCACTGAACCAGGTGAGATGCAGTTCGAGTTTTTGACAAAGGTTTAACTTTTTGTTTTTGCTTTGAGCAAATTGAGCAAAGCCAGACGTTCAGTTTCTCCTCTTACACGTGAAGATTTCCTAAAGGTATTCTCTCTAGTACTGGATAAAAAGAGAGATTGATGATCATCAATAGCTGTCAGAGGATTTCACACCAACATACTGTAACATTCAGCACAACTCATAACTTCCCCTAGTGTTCAGTACGGCTACTACAACATAGCACTAGTGGCCCCTTTGCTGTGAAAAATGTTGATTTCAGTGAGGCAATTAACGCAAACTTCTAAATAAACAAAAAAGGTTCAAAAGTGCATTTTGTCACGATCCATATTAAATAACAAAAACAATTATATCACTGATAATTTTCACCAGTATAGATGGAGATATTTGTTCTGTCAGAATAAAGAATCATTTCCTTTGCTTTGCTGTTGGAGACATCTGCTCAATTACTCTGCACATCTCCTATAACTCATATAACTGCACTAAAACTGAAATTACCTCATCCCAGCCTGACTGCAGAATGCGTCACTTCCATTAAGAAATTCAACACTGACATAAAAGTTCTTCCTGCATGCACAGAAAGATACTTAAACCATATTAGTACTGAGAACGCCACACTCTGTAAGCACAGTTAGTCTGTATAATCAAAACTACACAAACTAGGATATAAATCGGCCTTATTTAGACATCTCTGCAGTAGAGGTCTTCAGTGAGTTTTAAACACTTCATACCTGTCCTGCTTTACTTTATGGGTGTAAAAAAATAAACACTTCTCACCTTTTTGGCTGAAGATCTTGCAGATTTTTTGAGCTGCTGGACTTCTGTGTCTCTCTGCCCGGACAACAACCAGTGAATGGAACCAATCTGTCCTTGTTGTTGTTTTTAGGAGGCCATTAGGGCGGACGGACACTCTGACATCATAGCAATTACAATGAAAAACCATTAGAGACCCCAAGCCAGAAATAATGGAGACTCCCTGGAAAATACTGATGCTTGTCTATGTTTTCTTAAACTCAGTCTGTATCTCTGCGAGTGTGTGTGTGTATGTGTGTGTGTGTGTAAGAGAGAAAGAGAGAGAGAGAGAGAGACTCTAGATGTGGTTGTGGTCTACCCTTTGTTCAGTAAGGATTATTGGTACTCCGCTAATGCTTATTGTGAATAAGAATGGGTTGTATGAATACAATACACAGAATTCTTTAAAGTTGTCACTGAGAAATAATCAACATTTTACACCAGGTAACAGAATGAAGAATTGGCTTTGAGTGAAAAAAGTTGTCTTTGTTATCTTAAAGTTTAGACAGTATAAGATATTGTTCAAAATGTGACACAATTACTGTCTTTAGTGGTTAAATCCAAACCCGTGTTTTTGTGATTATGCCTTTGGCATAAACTGAGCTCACCTTTACTTGACTGTAAAATCTTTTTGTAAATCCATCTTGCTTAAAATTTTTGAAAAATTTCTAGGCAGCCAGAGGCTCCCATAAATTGTTTCTTAAAAAATTAGCTAATTTTAGTTAGTCTTGCAGTTTTCATGCGTAGACGGAAATCAGTACTAGCTCATATTTGAAAATCTGAGAAGGTACAAACTTATTTTTCTGTTTTTTCACTTGGCTGGTAATTTACAGTGAGAGCTTTTCACTGGTTAGTTAATCAAGGAGCATTTGGGCAAATTAACACCCCAAATAATCTGAAACAAGCTTTTTGTTGTTGTTGTCTCTATTATCTTTGTCCTATTTCCCATTATTACACTTAAAATCAAATTTGTGAGATTTAAATCATGCAAATAAAGTTGCTGTGAGGAACTTTCGGCTTCTGTTGACATTGGCGCTTCCAGTGAAGACAAACTGATATTTGTTGCTTATAGTAAAAGTAATGTTTAAAGGGATATTCGTAAAATATGCGTAATATATGCGTAAAACAAAGTTTGCTCATGGAAATCCAATCAGACCGAGATGCTAAGGTAGAAAAACTACCACGTCTGCAGTGCAAAATGATTAATATGGTGATTATTACTTCAAGGAAATGATAAAGTAATGATCATAAATGTTCATCCTTGAGCTGCGTCCCCCCGCTGCAGTCAATGGACTCGCCTGGAGGTCTCCATACAAACAAGCGGCTGCTGGAGGAGAGTGGGTGAGTAGTGTTTAGTCTCTTTGCTAAAGAAATTAGGCAAAGCGTGAAAGATATGATGGCTAGTACTATGGTTGGGACCCTATATGTACTGTTGATGAAGTGAGGTGGTGTTCTGAGCATTATTTGTGGCTATAGAGTGGCTTTTTGGTTGAGCGCGTGGCTCTCTGTATTGCCATCTGCGGTTGTTACTTAAGTTGGTATAACTAGAGAAGCAAGCGGTCGGCAACATTCATCTCGACAGGGTGTCCAACTCGGTAACTTAATTTTACGACGCAATATACCTTTAAAATAAAAATCCCCAACTCATTGTCTTTTACTTAAAAAAGTAATTATTCACTGTGAGGATTTGCTGAGTAAAAAGTCAAAAAGGTTGTTTTTAATGACGATTCCAGTTGTATTATCAGACTTGTTGCTCATGGTGTCACAAAGAGGCATCAGTGTCAGTTTCAGTATTTCGCAGCCACTTCAAATAACCACCCAGTGCCTCCACACATGAAAAAAAAAGGAAAAGTATTAACGAGTCAAGAGTTGACACAAAAACAGCACAGACTCCCAGAGTGTTTTCTCAAAGTGAAGTTTCATTTTTAGCACATAGTTTTTTCTCCATTCTACACCCCCTGTAATGTTACGTACAGTAGTAAGCCTCTCTACATTCAACCCCCCCACCGCTGTGTTGGTCCCCAAAATATACATCTTTTTCTTCTTCTGCATTGTCTTAGTCATCTTCTCTAAGGTATTTCTTCAACACAACAAACACAGACCATTGGGCAGACAGTGCAAATCTAGAAATTCAGTGAAATTGCTACGTAATGCGGTTGTAAGTTTCGGTAACATTATATTCTCCCTCTGTTACTGTTGCTCTGACTTATTGCCATTCTATCATATCTAACTCTATGTCTTTTTTTCCTCTATCTTTCTCCTCCTCTGTAATCTTTACCCACTGTTTTCATCCAATCCATTCACACCACCCCTCAGATTTAAAGCATCTGTTTAAATTTGACCACATGAATATGGCCCCGGAGAGGAAATGTGACGGTGGATGAAAACAGCGTTTGATGGCTGTCTGTGAGGTGATACCAGAGCTCTCTAGAAACACTCTCCCATCTTCTCTAACTTCCTTTTTTTTTTTGGACCAGTTCAAGAATGTTCAGCAGAATTCATAAAAAGAAGAATATTGTCGTTGTTGTTGTTGTTCAGAACATTTTAGAAGTCTAGTACAGTGGGAGTTGGGGTTCTGGTTTTCCCGAGTCAGCTGACCAACTGACAGTAACAATCAAGAGGGTCTGTGAGGAAGTGGGCCAAAACAAAAAAATTAAAGTAAGCTGAGTTATATGACAGCAAGGTCAAGTTTAGTCTCTTTTCTATTTACTTTCACTCTTTTTTGTGTGTGTTTTTTTTCTCTCTAGTGTTTTGCCTGAATCAAATAAGTGTTCAAATCTGACCAAAGGGATGCTTTCGTCTGCAGGCCTGGTCTGCAGGTGCAGGTTTTGAAGTGTTCTTTGACTGATATGAGGCTGCACTGACACCTAATACATTAGCCCAGTGGTTCTCAAGTCTCCCTGCTCCTACACACCTGATTCAAATGATTAGCTCGTTATCAAGCTCTGGAATGGCTACATAACGAGCTGATCATTTAAATCAGGTGTTGGAGCAGGGAAACATCCAAAACATGCAGGACAGTGGGCCTCGAGGAGTGGACTTGAGAACCACTGCATTAGCCTATTTCTTTGGCTGCCATGGAGCATGTGTGAGTTCATGCTCCTGTAATTTGCAGCAACAGAAAACCTTTTGACAGAGCATATTTCAGGGTAAAAAGTCTTTCGATTTTCTAATTTCTTCAGATTCTTTTGCTTTTGTTTAGTTTGTCTCAAAAAACCTACAATCAAAATGATTTGCGAAGGGAAAAATCAGTCTTTGGTTCAACTGCTCTTGACTTACGTCAGCACAAAGGCAAAAATAGTAAGTACACATTAAAAGGCTTTAAAAACAAAAGGCTAAAGTGTCACAACTTAAACTCAGGTTCCCAGTTTTCCAGAGCTTACATCAGTCTCCATTAGCAGATTAACTGTGAGCAGTTATCATGGAGATTTCTCAGGAGCTGGTCTGTAAACATACTTTCCAAACACCAGCTATCACTTGACTCAAGTTTAATACTTGAGTCACGTGATGGCTGCTAATCCATCTCCCGGATAAAAGAGCCTCACCTCAGCCTCATCATGCATGAGGGACGTCTAACCTAAATATTGTGTCTGCAAATGAAATCAAACGATTAGAAAGAAAAGATAATCAGAGGCGGATTAGGTGTGGCTGCAGCCAAATAGCATCAGAACACATCAAAATTTACATCCACCTGAAAATGAGGTCAGAAATGCACCTGATAGAGATGACTACCCCTGATGCTTAAACTCATCAGCTCAATAAAAGTCAATTTTAGAGCTGCACACGGAGCGAGTTTCACGACTTAGTTGATTCAGGCATGATTCAAAGTGAGTGGTTGAAAACTGCTGGTTTGAAGGGTTTTTGAATGTTTGGTTACGAAGCAGCCAACAGGTAGCTCTGCGTTTTAAAATGTAAAAAAAAGAAAAAAAAAACAATCAATCGATTCATTTTACGATACATTCGGATTCAAACCCTGTCCCTCAGGAAGGAGAGAAGGAGAGAGAGAGAAAAAGGAACAAAGAGAGAACTGCTGTCTCTCGTTCTCTGTCACTCTATCTACACACATCTCCTGCTCACTGATTCACTCACTGGATACATACCGACATGTACACACTCACTCACGCACACACACACAACCTGACCATCATCTCCAAATAAGGTTACATTTCCTGATCAAATAGAAAATAAATAGCATCAGTATCAGTTTTCCACAAAATGAACAAGATCATACAAAAAGAACAAGTTAAACAACATAATTACAAAGCAAAAAATCAGTTTTCATCAAATAAATGTACACAGAAAGTACCTTTAAGACAATGTGAATATCAAGGACGCAACAGGAGTAAAAACAAAAGTGGGGGGTAAACATTTGAGTGTGGCACCCACTTCCTGTTTAACCCCCTCAAACCACAAAGATTATCCTGAAAGAATGAAAATATTGCTAAAATAATTTTTTTCAGTTTTTTTCCCCCATTCTTTATCCCATCACTCTACCATAATGATCAGACAAGAATAAACTGATTTTTGTTGGTTCACATCGAAAAAAGTTATCATCGCCATTGTCGCCATCTAGCAGCATCAGGTCTGCTGAGCCTAAAGGAACAGACGTTGTGGGTTCAGAAGTCTGGATCACTGGGTTTTTCTTTTAGTCTGAAACACTTGTGGTGCACATTAATCGCTCTTTTTATCTCTACTTTGAGATTTACGATTCGCTCCGATACAATTTGGTTGAAGATTGGAGTTCCAACTGTACTTTGTCAAAATTTTAGCCAAAAAAATCTCAGAGTGATGCTTAAAAATGATAGCTACCCTGTGGAGTTTTCATCAGTGGCTCTGGTTTATTTGAGTTTGAGTACTTTTGATTTAATATGTATGACAACTTAGGCAAGAGGATTCATGTCCTACACAGCAGAAGGCATTAGAAGACAAACAGACACTGGGGAGAAGAAAACAGCCAGCAAGGACATGTTAATGTAAACATTGCAAGATGTACAAAAACTAAATTTGACATGATAGAAATAGAAAAGAAATGCTTCCAGGATAAAGCATACACACATAGTGTTTAGGCAGCGACACGTATGACCTTACTTATGCTGTGTTCGAGTTACCTTGGAAGTCAATTGTCGGAGCTGAAAATGACGTCGCACCCGAGTTCCAAACGTTTCAGTTACAAGGTCAGAAAAAAGCAAAATCAAAGGCCTGAAACAAGATGGCTAAATCAACGAAAGTTATTTTAGCGCTTGCCTTATATTCAGACAAGGCAAGCGCTGAAATAACTTCCGTAGGTGTAGCCATCTTGTTTCGGCCTCCGATTTTGCTTTTTTACACCTTGGTAACTGAAACGCTGGTAACTCAGGTGTGACGTCATTTTCAGCTCTGACATCCAATTTCCGAGGTAACTTGAACACATCATTATTGTCTCCACAGGGTAACATTTTAAAAAAGACATTTTCTTTAAATGTGGAATGTTTTTTGGATTTTCCATTAAATGAATACATTCTGCACCACATTGATCCCGAATTTCAAAAGAAAAGAAAAACGGCCGACCCAGATCATTCCTCCCCTCTTTAAGGTCTGTTAAAGGGGAAACCCGCTCAATTCTAGCATTCACGTTATGGCCTCATACAGTTAACGTGATGTGAATTCAGAATTCAAGCCGGATTTCCCCTTTATGGTTTCTGCTACACTAGTGTTTCTCCCATTATACACTACAGAAATATCCAGAGACATATGTATATATATATAAAAACATTATCATCATCGTCATCTTCATCATCAGTAGTACTTAGAGTAGAGTAGAGTAGAGTAGTAGTAGAGTAACAAGTAAGAAGAAGGAACAGTATTGTACTTCATATCATTCTCATCATCTTCATCAGTGGTTATTTAACCTTGAGGGACTTTAGGCTCGTCCTTTGGTGGAACCCGACAGGATGGGAGAAGAGTTAGCTCCAGAACCAGCTGTTTGTATGTGTGTTTTGTGTGTGTACTTGAGTGTGTGTGTCTGTATGTATGTTTGGGTGCATCAGTGGATGATTTGTATGACCTGGATACACCTTCTCCTGTTAGCTCTGTCTTCTCATATTTACAGTAAATATGTACTTGCTATCTGTGTGCATGTGAGGATTAGTGTGTCTGATCTGTGTGGGAATAGTTTTGGGACATTTGTGTGAAATTGCTTCTTTTTTTAAGTTAATGGGTTGTGCTATCCACGAATGAAATAAGCATCTCTGACCGGAGGATAAATGCGAGGCCACAGGACTGGATCGGTTAAATATCAAGACAAGTTAGACACAGGTTGAACTTTGTTTGTGTTGCACCAAAAGAGACATTTTCTCTCTTATTTTGACGCTGATTTAAAGCAGGTCAGCCACCATTTTTTGGGTACTGACCTGCAGTATAATAAAACAGCCATTAAATTTAATGACAATCTGCATTTTAGGAGGATTGTTATCTTCAGATCTGAAACATAATGGGTGTACAGCAAAAAGTGAACCAGTTTCACACAACTCTGTCAGATAAAAGGTTTTACCTTGGATCACTGAGATTGTACACTTTTGTCAAAAAAGTCACCTCCCCTTTGATACGAGATAAACAGAACATTGGTTTTGTTTTGGACCTTTTTTGTATCTGACTGCTCCCAACACTTCACTATCAAACTCATGTCTTCTCCCTGTCCCCTAACCCCTATGTTATCTCATCTCATTGAAGCAACACCTAGGTGGCGCTCTCCCCCGCTCCAGAGGAAGAAGAAGAGGCCCCACTGGATTTGGGCTCGGGTTGGTCGGAGTGAGCCGTCTGTGGGGATGAAGGGGTAGGCGGATCCCCTCTCTCGCCTCGCTCCTGGAGGTTGCGCTGGTTCCTGGCAGCCTCTGTGAGCATCTGCATGCGGCGCTCCTGGTGCTCCTCAAGGCCTCGCCAGAGCTCAGCACGCTCCCTCTCTCGCTTCATCTCCCTGGAGAGAAAGAATATAGTCTCTTGTTTTAACTTAAGTAGACAGACCACAAACTTCTGTTAGAGTTGGGTGCCAAAGTAAAACCATCAAAGAACGCTTTAACCACTCATACCCATATTTCCATAGTCGAGGCTTTTCTAGATAAGTTCACCCTCCAGAAAATCTTATAAATTTTAAACAAGAAGGTGTGATTTCCACTGTTCTGGAAAACAAAGTTTATACATACATAGTCTTAACAATATTAGCTCTGTTGCTGTTAAATTAAACTGACTTGTTCTCCACATGATCCTTTATTTCTTGAATGAATCAAGGGTAATACAGGAAAAGCAGGGGTAGACAGAGAGGATGTCAAGTCTTGAGGCCTTTGACACCACTTTTTTATCTAATAGCAGGAATAAGTTACAACTTTTATTCTAAAAAAAATTATTTAGATCCTTTCTCACACTAAAATAAAGAAAGAAAATAACATGAGAATTTGGGGTTCGGTATCTTAGTCAAGGATGCCTCTACATATACCATTTATTCCTTGAGTCTCCCTTAAAAAATGGAGCTTCCTCTGGTTTTGCTCTGGATGATTGAGCTCCTGAAAAGAAGTAAATATGAATTTATCCATGAGAAATGATTATCGTCATAATGTCCTACTTTCTTACTCTTACTCTGAGAGATGGACATTGATACATAAACAGTAAATGGTCATGTTTAGGAATTGTCTATGGCAGCTATCTTTCAGAATAACAAAGTATGAAACTGTATTTTTTATGCTGCAATAGTAACATGGAGTCAAACCAATGCATGTCTGTAATCATATGTATAACTACAACCATCATGGAGAACTTGGTGAACTCACGATTGTGACGGATGTTATTGAAAATCTGTCATTTCGCTTCTGGAAAAGAAGCAAAACTATCCTAATGCTCCATAAATTTCAATTCACTCTCTTCAGGTTTGAACTCTGCAATTATGATGATGTGATGTTCAAAGGATGACCTAAGCGATACATCCCTACGACATGAAAAGTCATGCCATGGATAATGGAACAAATAAAGTCGAAACATGACTCAAGAACCTTCTATTACTTCCTCTTGTCAATGTCGTATCCAGTGACACAATAAACACACAAAAGGCAGTGAGTCATACGCACTTCTGTTTCTCCACTTTGTAGGAGGCAGTGAGGTCATCAAACAACTTGCTGTTCATCTCCATGAAGGTCTTCAGCACGTTGTAGATCAGGGACACGATAGTCCTGGAGGGGCAGAACGAAAAGGTAATGAACTTTGACGTTCCTTCATGGATCAGGAAATGCATGTCAAAGAAAATGTGCACACTGGAAAACACTGCGTTGCCTAAATAAACACACTCGGGTCATTCATTGGTTAGCAGCCACTGTCAAGTCAAATGGTGGGTCATTTAGTTCAGTGTTAGAAGTTGTGCCTCTTCATATCTAAATCTCATCTTTAAGATACTAAAGTGCAGTTTAGAAATAATCAAAAGGTTCTTCAGTCTCATTTGGATACAGCTTAAAACTTAGTCTAGTGACAGGAACATTACTTTAATCCCATATGGAGCCTTGTCAACCTTGGCACAAGCAGAAATTTGCTACCCAGGCAGTCATAAAACAATTTTCTAAATGAATAAAATCTTATACCACATTAATAATGTTGGGTTAACTAGTGTTTTTGTGCAACTCACTGGTTCCAGTGCTCCTTCGAGACTCTGTAGAGGGTGGCAAAAACCAGCGGCAGGATGACTTGACAATTCTCCTCTATCAGACTGAGGATGTATTCGTTGTTCCAGAAGTAAAGAGCCCGCTCTGCTACCTGAAAAATATACAGAAACAGATATGTTAATTTTCAATTAATTTTCTTTAAGTGTGTGCAGCTATTTTTTTTTTGTATTTCAGAATATATTAATTATTTTCACTCATTCTAGAATAGTTTGAGTATAAAGAGGTACAGGGTTACCTGAAAGTGAGGGCTGGAGATGCAGGCTGCAATCTGCTTGAAGAGTGGCTCCTGGACCCGGATGAACTGAGACGGCTCGATCACATCCAGGATCTCCTCAATCTCTCCGAGGAACATCACCTGAGATCACAGAAATAACAACGCACATAAATCATACGTTCATGATTAAAACACGAAACAGTTAAGACAAAATGAGAAACGGTAAAACAGCGATGAGTGAGAGCAGCCTCACCTCTTTCTGCGTGCAGGTTTTTGGCCAGTACTTGAGCAGCCCTCTGATGATCTACAAAGAAGATAAGAAGTAAATTAGTATAAATATATATAAATATACACGAACAGTTTTATTAGTGTTTTTATTACCTTCCATTTTTTAATCAGTTTTAATGTCTTTGTACAAATAAAGTAAATCCTTACAACCAATTTATTGACCCTATTCTTAGCCCAAAAAACACATTGCAGGTGAAGACAGCAGGTGACAAAGCCTCAGAAGCTGCCTAACATTTTCAATCTAACTGTGTTACAGACGCAAAAACTGCACACCACAGGCAATTTGAAGTGTCTCCAAATTCACAAATGTCAGTGCAGGACTATTTCAGTTCCACTTTTTTACAATAACTGGAGATAGAGTTGATAATTCCCTCTTACAAACCTGCAAAACTAATTATAAACAGTGGTGTTTTGATGCAAAGCAATTGTTCGCCTTTCTTTAATGTCTGTTTTTGGTCTCCACCTCCCTCTGAGGGCAATCTGGTTCTGTAGCTGCTCGGATCTTAATTGTGTTCTTTGGATTTTAACGTTATCTACTTTTGGCAATGTTCAACGTAGATTTGATACTGATAGAAATTATGATAAAAATGACAGTTGTAAAATGTCTCTGCAAGTTTGTGAGTACTGTAAAGTAACCAAAAACCCCTCTTACGTATTCAGTCACTGTCGCATCTTTTTCCATAAACTGCACCACACAGTAGGCCAGCTGAAAGGACAGAAGACACATGGTTAGATGAACCAAAAATTACACACACACTCCCTGAAGTTGTCAAGTAGACAAAGGGGATCTTAGCACTTATCCCTCAGGATTACACACAGTTAAAGATCGGGGAGAGAAGTTTTCCAAAAGGAGACGTGTGTTAGAGATGTGTGTGCATAGGTTTGAGTGTGCGTCGACTTCTTCATCACCTCTTGTCTCGCCTTTTAAGATCTACAATCATGCCACGTTATTTCGCATGTGTGCGTACGTGCATGGATGCATGTGTGTGTGTTTTGTGGTTGCCTCTCCAACCAGGGCAGTTGCCGTGGCAAGTGGGCACCGTAGCGACGGAGACTGTGTGTGCGTGTGTTTACTTCGGAAGGAGTGATGTCACACACGAGAAGTCCCTCAAGGCAATGTGAGATAGAGTTTAGACCTCTTGTCTCTGCCTCTGTGGCTTTGCTCTTTTGTCCCGTTCTATACCTTTTCTTTGTTTACATTGTTACACCACAAGTCTTTTTCTGACTCCAAGTTAAGCTAGTTTAAGTGTCGTCAAAACAAAACTATGCCAGATTAACAAATCTTATCATGGCAGACAGTAAAGGTTGTGTACTGTCAAACTCTTCATGTGTGTTCGATTTGTTTTGATGTTTTTTCTTTGTGTTCTTAGTCCCGATCTGAAACTCCGTTGTCTGTCTCTCTGTCTGCCTGGTTTTCACATCTTCCACAGCTATTATCTTTTTCCTCATCTAATCAATTTTCATTCATTTGTCCCACCTTTTTTTCTGCTTTTGTTCCATCCGTAACTGTCCTGTCTCTTACTCATACCACAACATGGTTACAGAATCACAGGGAAAGTGGGAGCTTAGGCTACAATAGGGATGGTACACTTGAATAAACGAAAAGTAGTAAAAAAGGAGCGGATTAGTACAAAGGTGCCAACGGGTCTAACTATTTAAAGCATTTGTGAGGAATCAGAGAAGCTGCTTGGGGTAAATATAGAGTTGGATTCTGTTGTCAGACCAGACTTTGCGGCTGTAGGAGGCTGTTGTCAAGATAAGGATTATGGACACTGTAGTCCATTTGAGGCTGAGAGTTACAAATATGAAAATGTAAAGTTGAAAGGTCACAATCGGGTCTACTTTTAGGGATGGAGTCATTTTGAGGTATTTTATGTCATCTTTTTGCCTCTCCGATTGTTATTGTCTGCATTTTAGTTCTTTTGGTTATTTTTTTGAGATACATTATTCTTAAGAATCAGAAATTTCACAAAAATTGAAATGAATTTACATCAAACTGAAGTTTCTCAGCTTTGGCCTTTTTAGACTGATGAAAGAGCTAACCTGTGTGTTAACCATAGACTGTATATAGTTTGGACGACTTGACTCCAACTAGCCAAATGCTCCCGGTATTTACAGAAATTTTCCTCATTTCTTGAAACTGGCATTTGTGCAGTAGTTTACAGCGGGAGACTCACTTTGATGACACTCTGCTCAAACAGCGTACCCCCCTGGATGTCTAACACAACCTTTGTACGCCCATTGACTGTATGCTAGTGTTAATCATAGAAAATATGATGTCATTTCCTGTTTGTTCAGTCTAACAATAACTCCATGTCAACATCGCAACCAGGGATGAGAAAACCTTACATGACTTGCATTTGATTTTTAAAGTTTGTCCACAGCTCTATTTATTTTGCTGGAGGAGGCGGGCCTATGAACTATACTGCAACCAGTCACCAGGGGGTGTTGTTCTCACAGAGGCTTCACCCAGTGAGGAGGCATATCACACAGTCTATGATGGTATTGTCTTACCTGAGTGCATCTTAGCTTTGTATATTCATTTATGACCACTGATATAGAGCGACTTTTAACCTGTTACTTCAAATCCATAAATCAAACCATCTATCCTCTTTCCCTCCTTTAATATTCAACACTTTAGTTACTCCAAGAAACCACTGGTTACAAATTGAAAGCTAGCAAGCATAACATAACTAAGCATAACTAAGTTATCTCATATCTCTACCTGCTGACTCAATAATAGCTAGCGACTCCTCAAACTTCTCAAAAACGTGGGATCTAGCATTCACTGTTTGCCTGTCATGGGTTGATCAACCAAACTTTTTTTCAAACTTAAAATGAGCGGCCCTATTATCTCAGCAGTCACATACAAATGAGACCAAGTAATTGAAAAAAATAGACTTCCAACTGCTTGACTCCTACAGCTCCTACATCTTAAGTGTCAATCCATATATATAAGGCACCAGTCAGATTGGTTAAAGAAAAAAATATACTGATCCTAAAGAATACTCTAAAGAGGGGGTTTCAATGCAGGAAAATCAATAAATCTCAAATTACTCAGAGAAAATAAAAGCGCTCCAATATTATACATTATTACTATGATGTAGAACCATGATGGTGGCAGTACAATATAGCTCTGACAGCTGTTACTGCAATCTGGTGACGTAAACATGAATGAGGATTCCTTTGCAAGTTACAGGAAGTGTGATTCATCTCATGGTATAAGAAGTTCTGTTGTGGTATTCCATTTTAATATGTAGATCCAGAACTGGGTCACTCCTGTGCAGCCACGCCCACTGAGCGCAAAACTGCTGTCCACCAGCAGTGTATCCCCCGTGACCCTGTCAAACTGAGTGTGTGTTTTAGTGTGTGAATAATGTATGTGTAGGAACCACAGGGAGCAAGACAGGGAGGAGAAATGTAGGGCGCAGTGATGCTAAAGCGTAGAATACACACTCGCAAACACACAAACTCATGCACACACAAACCACGTACTATTTATAAAGAAAGGTGTACCTTCTGCTTAATCAGTAAATCAAAATGCAGGCGCACACAAATACACAATACGAGTGGCTGCTATGTGTGTAATCAAATATTGTTGTAACCCAAACACACACACATACACTTACACACTAATACATAAAAACTGAGAGATTAAGGAAACCACACACGCTCAAAGGAGAATCCAGCCCCTATGTAGAAATATTTATGACTTAACTATGCCCCCTAGTGGTGAGTTAGAAACACTACAGGACGCTGCTATCATTGAAAAGCCAAGGGGACAGTGTGGTCTTTTTATTAATATAAATACATGCAGATATAACAAACCGTTTTAAAAAATGAGACAATAAAGGACCAGTCTGCAGAAAAAATGCAAAACCTTGGGGTATCTTTATGCATACTTTTATTACATCTTGAGATTATTCAAAGTTAGGTCGATGTTCATAATGTTTTGATCACAGCTTGAAAATTTGTTCAGAAAATGCTCATAAACATTGGTTCAAAAAATGAGGAAACAGCATCAGAGCGGGCAAAAATCACCTAAACATACACGGTGAAACAGCTCTATAGTGCAAAAGACCACATCACACCAATTTTAAAATCTCTGCATTGGTTACCTGTGTCTTTCAGAGTAGAATTTAAGGTTCTTTTATTAGTTTTTAAAGCTCTTAATGGTCTTGGTCCTTCTTATTTATCTGATTTGCTGTACTGTATGAGCTTAGTAGAACCCTCAGGTCTTTAGGTGGTGGTCTTTTAATTGTTCCCAAAGTAAAAACTGAAATATATGGTGAATCATTGTTTCAACATTACGGTCCCCATCTGTGGAACATCCTACCTGCAGACCTAAGAGTGACACCTAATGTTCATATTTTTAAAAGTGAGCTAAAGACCAACTTTTTTAGTCTGGCTTTTCGTTAAATTTTGTTTTAATCTTTTAATCTGAAATTATGTGATTTTACACTATTTTAGTCCCAGAGTAATTATTTTGTGTTTTTTACCCACTTTTTTTAATTAACTTTCTTTTATTGTTTGATTTTAAGACTGTAATATTTATTTAACCTTTAGGGTTTTATCACCTTTATTGTATTTTATCATCATTTTAACATTTTAGCCCAAGATCCAGTGTTTCCTCATCTTTTTTAACTCAAGATAGCGTTTCCTCAGTCATCTGTGGCAAGTTGAAGAGTCCTCACCTGGTCTTTTGTGTATGCATCTGTCTGTGTGTGTGTGAGTGTGTGAGTGCTGTCTGTGTTGAATGGGGGTTGGGCGGGTGGGTGGGCTTAGGTATTTGTATTTCTATTTATTTAATTTCATTTTTTTTTATATTCTGCGCAAATGGACAGCACTTTGTGCTACATTCCATGTATGAAAAGTGCTTTAAAAATAAAGTTTGATTGATTGATTGATTGATTGACCACGTAAACATGAGTCCCCTGGATGTGTATGCAGAAACAGAATCACCCTTTCTATTAAAAGTTTGCCTGTAAGTATTTAAAGTATCTGTAAGTGCCTGATTTGTTTTTAGGGACAAACTTATGCTGTCTCATTTTGTCTACATCAGCCACATGCACTCACTGCATACCTGATCATGAGATCTGAACTGCACCTAGAGACCTCTAGGTTCATACATGAGTCTCATGTATGTCCACCACAATCACAACTTCATACAAGTCATCACTTTTAAATGTTATTACACAAAGGCAACATGTCACTGACCTGTGCGTGGAAGATGGAAAGGGACTTCGCCGTGTGCAGCGGGATAAGAACCCGAACCAGGAACTGCTTGTGTTCAGCCTTCAGAGGCAGGGCGAAGCCATTTATGATGCTGGAGGAGAGAGGAGAAGAGGACTTGTAATGTTGCTCGTACCAACTGAATAATGTTCTGCAAACATTGTTCACTGAGATGTCAAACTGTGGCACATGTTAATGCTTCGCTAATTTTTCCATTCCCTGGTCACTTTTGTTTGGTAAACTTACAGAAAAAAGGAACATCAAATTCAAAGGTTGTACTCTGAATTTATTTGAGGTAGATTTTAGACATTAGGTGAACTCAGTTCTTTATATAAACTTTAGCTATCACACAATAAGGAGAAAACAACACTATCAAAGTTAATCTACAGATATTCTTCCTGGATCACAGCTGAAAACTGTCAATTTAAAGATAAAATTAGAATATCCTGTTTGGATATGAGTGTTATTCATTAAATCAACATTTTCTCGTATGCGCTGAACTACAGTCAGAGTCTTGTCTTGTATTTTGTTCATGATTAAGTGACTGGACTTCTGTGTGGTCGGCTCTGACTACAACACTGACGGACGTAGAGCCCACAGAGAGAAGAGCATGAGCAGCCGAAGCGTGGGAACTAAACTTTGAGCATCTATTTAAGCTACACTGACCCATTTGTCAGTTCACATAGACTATTTATCAGTGTGTGCCTACTCCAGAGTGTCTGTGTGTCTGTCTGTCAAGTTTGCCTCTGCCTCTGACAGCACTGCTTTATTGAACGCTCTTTTCGTAAATACCTCCCTGCTGTTCCTCTCATCTTTCTTTCTGCCTTCCTCTCATCCCTTTTGTTAAGACCTCTATCTTCTTGCTCTCCCTCTCTCTCCCCCCCATACAACGCAGCCTCCCTCGCCCATCTCTCTCTTCCTGTCTCCTTGTGTGGGAGGAGCTAAAAATACCTCTGTTACCACCAACATGAATACAAACCTCTCTCTCCTCTCCTGCTTTCCCTCCTCCTTCTCCCACTTCTGACTCACTGTTCATTTCACTCATCCTCTCTCCAGCCCCTTGTTTATGGTCATCTCTCATCCCTCCATTCCCTTCTCTTTTCTCACCTTGAATCCCTCAATCCCCTACCTACATCCTTTTTGCTCTTCATTGACCCTGAGGTATGAAACCTTGAGAGTCATTGCCCATTTTCGGATTCACCTTTTGGTCAGGTGGTTGGAGGTTGTTAAAAGAAGATTTCAGGTTTTATATGAGCCTCGTGATGCTCTATATACAGGGGAAAGCTAAAGAAATAAGTAAAAGATAATGATAATAATAATGACAAGTTATTTCCAGACAGCACAGTGAACTTAGAAGAAGTAAACACTGACGCACACTGATTGATTCTTTAACTTATTGTCAAAAACAGGGAGCGATGGAAGGACAAAGACGCTCTTACATAACGATCATCATCTGTCAACTGTCTGTTTATGTAATGCAATGACATCAATGTTATAAACTAATCTAATACTGGTTTCTGTTTTCACTGAGTATAGAGCGAAAAAAAATCAATTGACCTTCATGAAAGAGAGCATACCTTCTGTCTCTTTTTATGTGGGTCTAAATTAGCATAAACGCCCTAGCATACTTGCTATACAGCTAGATTGCTAGCACGAAACCATGTAGCTTATATTTTTGTTGAGTGTCAAATCAAAGGCTGATACTGCAGAGTTTCCTCTAAACATGTACTGTGGTCAATACTGATCAATTCACATCCAAGACAATTAGCACTCGCTCCTTACTTACGGACCAAGTCCAGTCTTCTGTTCTGCATCATAAAGCCACTGACTAGCATCTACCTAGCAAGCTCCTACTTCAGCTTTGTCAAAACATTAAAGGTGGGGTCGGCAGGAATCTGTTAAAGAAGCTTTTTTTTTTTGTGATGTATATACAAAAAATCTTTTAATATCAGTCAATAGGTGTTAGTTATTGATGACATTTGGGAATATTATGATATAGATGTGTGCTCTTATGTCGGTGTGGTCAACATTTTAACATTTTTGAGTGGCCCGCTCTTTCTGACTGTAAACAAAGCAATTCTTCACCTCCTCGACCTGATTGGTTGTGAGGTGGACGATGTCCCCTCGTGTTCTGAGGCACGCTCCACGTCCTCCAATAACGTTCACGAGCCCAAACAAAGTTAGCGCGCTACAATATCGGACAGTAGAAACCAACCAGAAAGTACAGAAAATTGTCTGAATCCTCCTTTGGATACCGGATACCGGAGACTCTGGCAGAATAAAGGGCGCTTCGAAAGGAGGTAGACAACCCGGACAAGAACTAAAAAGCCGGGTCAACATCAGCACAAACAATGGGGGACGCTTCGGGATCTTACAGACCCTGTAACCTTTCTACTGGACAGGTAAACCGCTTTAACAAAGTAAGCCAAGTGTCTGTAACAGAAGTGTTTCTTGTCAAATGGGACCTGCTGTGTGTTGTAGCGCCGCTAAACTGTTTACCTCAGGTCCTGGAGTATGTCACTTAATCCTAGTTGTAGAAGTCCTGAAAACATTGTGTGTGCAGGTAGTCTGTTTGTGACTCTGTTGACTGGGCCCCATTTGTAATTACCTGAAGTATTTATCTGCATTATATTTGAATTTAATTGAAACGATACGAGTGAGCAGGAGCGTCTGTTTGTGGGCGGGGCTTGTTGGAGCAGAGAGGGAGGGGAGAGGAGGAGCTGAGGGGAAAACTAGTTGGGAGGGGTCGTGTTTACATTCAAGATTTCTCCCAAAAACTGGCACTTCCTCAGATCCTGCCTACCCCACCTTTAAGTCCTCAGAGGACAGACTATAAGAAGAGAAAGATGAAAATTCCAGCTAAAAAAAAGCTATCTATAATACTCATTGCTAAGTTACCTAATATGCCGACAACCAAGCGTACTTGCTTGTGTCAGCTATAGTTGTACATATGTAGATTAAAAAATGTAAAATGCTTACGTTCCTTTCAGAGGAAAATTGCATTAACAAGAGTTTTTTCCACACAGGACAGAGCAAAGCAAGCTCTTCTATCGCTATGGGTGCAGCTTAACTTTTCAGCTAAGCTATATTAGTAGGGTGACCATATTCTGAATCCCCCAAAAAGAGGACACTGCAATGCGGGGTCAGGTAGAGTGTTTTTTACACGCTTCTAACTCAGTTAATCCACGGTACACAAAATCAAAACTTCCATACAAAATCCTGGACATTTGAAGGATTTTATAAACTCCCCTGGACAAGGCCAGACAGCCCCCAAAAAGAGGACATTTCCGGGTAAAAGAGGACGTATGGTCACCCTAATATTAGTAATGTCCTGAGTCATACAGGACATTACAACTACAGCATGAACAGAATCTGATATTCATTTTGAAATCTAAAACAAGGAAGAGTTTTAAGTTACTAAGCTATTTCAACCATCATTAACATATTTATCCTTCTTCTATTCTATCTTTTCTTATTTCTCATCCCTTCACTAACCAGGAGTGGCACTTACACTGGTGTTGGAAAGATGGACTGATAACAAAACACACTGTTGTTGTTCATGTTGTTTTCTATGTTAACTGCTTGTGCTTTCTCACCAGTTTTAGTAGCTGCTTACGTCACTGGGTTACCAGCTGTCTCATAAACATGAGCAGCTGGGCCAGTACTGCAGCCGTGTGTTTCTGTTCACACTTAACTTTAAATCTAGGACATGGCTTTACATACTAAGATATATGCTTTCCTCCAATGTGCAGAGTAAGCTCAGAAGTGTATGCATGAATGAAAAGAAAGGGAACTGGACCGGACTTAAGCAAACAGGCAATAACACAGGAGTGTACAAGACTGTAGGGACTTACCTGCCGAGGATTTCCAGAAGCTCTGCGACTCCGTTGAAGTGCTCAGTTTCATAGATGAACCTAAATATCAGGAACAAAACAGACACACATGAACAGAATGGCTTTTAATGACTGTAATAGTGGATAAACACCAATTATAAACACTTCTAAAGACGCACCTGTTCACTTTAGCCTTTGGGGTAGTATAGTTACTTTTATTGGGTCTTTTATTGATTTGCTATGTTTATCTTTATTGTTGTTTTATGCTTTTATTGTTTTCATGGTTTTTATTGTTTTGTTTTTTTTTATTATTGTTTCTGGCAATTTTACTGTTAAGCAATTTGGTAGGCCACTGGCTGTAAAAATGTGCTATAAAAATAAAGCTGACATTGACATTTAAAATAAAAAGAAAGAGATTTTGTTATGAGATATTTCCTTTCTGTAAAAATCACAAGTGCATTAAATCACTGGATATATGTATATGGGGTTGATAATTCTAATGATGTAGGTGTTTGTTATCTCTCCTTTGACATCATGTGGAAGAAAAATGAAGCGCAGCATCATTAATGCAGATTTGAGCTTACTATACCAGAAAACATAAATAAGGTTATCAGCAGTATTATAGCTCTCCAGTGCTTGAGTCATGATGCAAATACAACAATTCAACCATGCTTGGTGAAGGAAAAGATGAAACGTGACGATGTAGATCATAGCAGTTTGGTTAGTCAAATCTGTTTCACAAATTGTTCCAAAGAAAAAGTTTGCGTCACTTCAGAATGAATTCACTCTCAGGACAGAAGCAGATTCTGTGAGTGTCATGACTGCAGATGAGACGAGTCATGTTTGTGCACGCCTTCCCAAGCCAGCAAAAAGTGGTTGAAAAGACATCTTCACCATACATCTAAACAACATCTAGATCCGGACCGTCTAAATAAAGACCAGTTTTCAACGTCTTTTTTTGGTCTAAATTACGTCAGGTGTTTGGTGGGTTGTGTGTGTTTGCTGCCATGTGTGCCTGGAAACAACTTTTACTGTTTGCTAGCATGTGTCTTAGGATACAACTTCATCTGAATGAGACAAAATCCATCACATGAATCAATTATGTGCTTCTTAAAATATAAACAGCTCTCTCAAATGTCTCCACCTCTTCTCAAAAAAGGATGTTTTGGTTTTTTAATCTCGTCAGTGTTGTTGCCTGTGCCCTATTTTTATATAGTACAGCGTGTTATTGCCAATGTTGAAAACACTGTTAGTGTCGGCTTCTTAAGTCTGCCAATAAATTGGTGACCAAATTGCTGCAGGACCATCAATGATAGCACTTACAAATTTAAAAAAAAACATCAAAAATCAACACTGGTTTTGATGGAGCTGAGGAGCTTAGTGGCTTGTTATCATACCATTGATTTCTATACACCATTCATGACAAAAAGACTACCTAGAAAGGTACTTTTGATGCTTTTAGTACTTTGACAGCCAGATTTAAAACTGTTTTCGTAACAAAATACTTCCTGTTTAAAGTTTTAGGACACACACCTACTTGTTACAGGAATGCACCATGCAAAAATGAACAAACACTGAACACTGCAGAGTTCATTAACCCATGCTGATGGCCTTTGTGGGCTAATGCTCGCTTTATTGAATTTTAAATGCTATAAATAGCACCTTTAAACCCTGTGCATTGAGCTGGAGGAAAGCAGCCTGTACCTGAGGAAGATGTTGTTAATCTGTTTGCGGATGTAGGCTCGGAGGCCCAGTAGTTTTCCATAGACACGGTGCAGGATGGTCTTTAGGTACTCCCTCTCCCTCGGGTCCTCGCTGTCGAACAGCTCCAGGAGCTACACACACATACATACATACAATTATTACACACGCTCATACTGTTTTTATAATGTATGTTTTTTTTAACTAAAATAATCCTTAAGCCTTACCATTGTAGCCTTAAACATCTCAACAATAAACTTTTATTTTTAATCATCCTAAACATGTAATAAGATTTGATAGACTGACTCAGACGGGGAGATTACCTGCAGCACAAACTTCTGGTCAACGTAGCGTTTGGCCATAGAAGGCTGGAAGTCTGGGCTCTCCAGGAAACGCAGAAAGAACTCATACACCAGCTAAAAAGGTACAAACAGCAAGATATTAGACATCATCATAATAATAATAATAATAATAATAATCAGAGAGAACAGGTGAAATTGTAAATCTTGTTGATTTGTATCCAAGAGATCTGTATCAGTGTATCTATATCAAGATCTGTATCAATATGTCCTGATCAACATTTGAGACTAAAGTGGTGCATTCAAGTTACAAAATTCGATTAAATATGTGAAAAAAGTGATCTTTTGATGTGTCTATAAACCAGCAGTTTTGGTTTAGAAAGAAGCTTAGCCTACTTTATCATCCTGTTTTTGGTGTAAAAGCTAAACTTAACTAGCAGACTGGGTCATCATAAGCAACTCAGGGGGAGGATATAAATGCCCCTGTTTGGCCTTGTTTGTAATGTTTAACAAGCAGAGCCTTAATATTAAGGTGTGCTGTATTAACAGAGCCAGAGCAGGGGCAAGATGCTGGCGATGCACAGCTCTGGAGCAGGAAAACAAGTGTGTGCACGTCTGATTGTGTCCCCTTCACAATGTAATGCTACTGTGAATACAATGTTTATAAGTACTGTATAAGTATATATATGCATTTGTGTACTTTTAAGTGGCTACAGTGACCGAATGGATATGTAAATGATTTGCATAACTCATCTATCCTTAATAAGGTACATTTGTCAACATAATGAAGTTGCCTTTATGCATCTGTAGGCAGAACTACTTTACAATTACATTTAATGGCCATAACAAGAGTTTAAGGACAGAGATAAACAAAGATAAAATCTCCTGCTAACTGGGCGAAGGGTTATGCACTTCAGAGGTTAAAAAATAACAGGACAATACCCTCTAATGTTATCTTAAGTCATGAGATAATAAGACTCTCTTGGCCGGAGCACTATTATGGGACTGAGGATGATAAAACAGGTCCATGTTTTGCTGTAGCCAGCAGATCTAACTGACCTAAAGGACCTGCTCTGGTACAATTTGTCTATGTGTGGATTATGCTGAATGCTACATTAACGGCATCACCAGGTGGGAATTGTGTGTGCATTAGAGCTTTGTCTTGCCCCTAAAAGTGTGATGTATTATACATAGTTGTGTTCATTTTTCATGCTTGTTACTGTCACTGCACTATTTCACTTTAATAACTAAGCAAGGATGAAATATCTCTGAAACAGCCTTTGAGGAAAGAAGTAAAGAGAGCATCTTTTTCTTTCTAATTATCCGTATCTCCTTTCAGCTTTACAGGAAGTGTATGAACCACATTTTGGGATAATGCACCTGCAGATGTGGCCAGGAGGCTTCAAGTGTGGGCTCATCTTCCTCTGGGTCAAACTCTGGATTTTCACTGGGTGGTAAAGTCCGGAAAATATTTACAGAGATCTGGAAAGAGAAAAACAGGAAATGAAAGGATGTACGGTAAATAGATGCAAGTTAAGAAAAGATCTGGGTACAAACAGTTTGATATAGGTAGAAACAGAAATTATAAAAATAAAAAATAGACACTGTACATAATGTTCTAAAGTTAGGATACATTTTTCTATGTTTTTTTTAGGATTAAACTACAGAGCTTAATGTAGTTGTAGTCATGACCAAGCAAAAACATAAATGAAAATATACTCTGACTCTAAATTTTATTATGCTGCTCATTCATTTTTTCCTACACCTACATCTGCCCCCAGGAGAAATCCAATAAATCTGATAAATCATCATGCAATTTCAAGTCTCATTAAAAGGATTATTAAGTGGGTTTCTATTAGCTGAATTGAGTAACTAGAGATTAAACAGTTGGTGAGAGGTGGCTGGAAGTGCAGCGTGAAAAAAATCAGAAAACTGTCTGGCAAAAGCTCTTATTTAAATTCTGATAAAAAGAGTTCAGCCACTGTTTTCTCTGGCCATTGTCAGGCAAATCTGATGCTGTTTGCAGACTAGTGTTGGAGAAGAATTAATAAGCCATGCAACTTGAATGCTGACTCTATCATGATTTATTCAACAAATCCATTTCCACAGGCCACTTAGTGCATAAACTGCATTACGCAAGGCAAATGTGGTAAACCCTTCCCGCCTCAATTCAGCATTATTTTTTATTATCGTAACTGAAAGAAACTTCTTACACGGCTGCACAATGGATACACATAGCTAGCATCTAGCTAGCATCTAGCTAGCTAGCATCTCACCTCCCTAATCTTTGTTTCCCCTGACTCTCTTCGACCTGTCCCATCTCTTCATCATTTGTCGTAAATATCCATCACATTCATCACTCAAAAGGATCTCAACTCTGTTTTTAGTGTTATAACCCATGTTTGGTTGCGAAGGCGCAAAAAAATAGAAAGCTAATCCATCTTTTGGCATGTAGGTACCCTAATTATCTGCAAAATACAACAGCAAGCAAAACTGCTGTAGAAAATGACAGCTAACGTCAACTTACAAGCACATAATTGTTTACATGTTGGCAGCATGCTGATGTTGGTATTTATCCTCCGACATCAAGCTGCCTAATTACAGACTTGTGAGGAAGCTAGCATGACTGTAAGCTCTGTGTTTGAACAGTTTCTTGGCTTCGTGTTGAATCTACTACACTGAAACTTTAGCTTTAATCTTGACACTTATTTGCAACTTTTACAGTAAATGGGAAACTTCAACCTGATGCCCCCACAGTAAAGCTTTCACTCATTTATTTCACTCCATCCTCCATCAAAAGCTTAAAGAATAAGCTGTATTCTCTGTTTTCTTCATTTTTTGTCCTTTTAATATCTTCCTTTTTAGATCCTCTAGGACTTCTGGTGTTAAGTCCACACATTTCTCTCCACACCACTCTATCTTTTTGTCCAACCCTCTCTTCCTCGCCATCTGTGAAGTCTCGGCTTCTTAGCATTCTTTGCTAACGCTAATGCTCTCCTTTTGTTTTACTCCACTCGTACATCTCTTACTCTCTTCCTTCACTTCAAAGCCTTTGAAGATCCTGACGTTCGTCATCTGTATGCTGTTTTCTTCCTCCTGTATCTGAGCTGTCATCTGTCTTCCTGAATCTATTTTCCTGCTGTGTGAAGACTTCCAGATTTTCTATGTGATGAGGATTGATTCCCCTATGAAAATACTTCTCTGGCTTTCTATATTTACCTTGCTCATCTACTATGACTGTTGTTTGTTATTGTCTAGGTGTCAACCATGTCTGCCAATGACCTACCATCTTTATGGCCTCTGGGTATAGAGGCTCTATGAGGACGCCTCTGCTCGTAGCAACACTCTCCACCAGCTCATTGAGCGCTGCACGTTTGATCTCCTTCCCCTTCAGGTCAGCCACGCAGTCCAGGAAATCAAAGAGCACACAGCACTGCTGCAGCTTCTTACAGAACAGGTCATGTAGCTCTGCCACCGGGGCATCTGGGTGATTGAGAGGTAGGAATAAAAAACAGGGAGAGAAAAAGAGGGGGGTTAAGGACAGGCTAAGTCAGATGAATTTCCTGGGAAGCGTTTTGGGTGAAATGTAGGAGTGTTGGAGTTTACAGAGATGTATTCTGCAGGCAAGATCCCCTCTCAAAGGTAATGAGGGAAAAAGAGCAGACTATTACTCCACAAACACATTTGTGCACACCCACACATGCACACTTACACACACCGTCCTCCAAAGGGCCGTGTTGTATCTCAGTCCTATTACCTGTCAGAATCACTCTCCAGACCTGTAAGTCACAATGAAACAACCTGCTGCTGGTCCTCGGATTATAAACCTTGTATTTCCAAACACACCACTTTTCACACATGTAGAGAGAATAGCTGATAGTCATGGATTACTGAACACATGTACTGATTCAGCCGGCCTGAGGGTGTGTGAAACTTAACAGCTAAACCGACAAAGCATTGCACAGAAAGAAAAAAGTAGAGCGAAAAGCAAGAAGATTTTTATAGACTTTGACAACAGCCGAATGGGAACGCTTGATTTTCCCTGAGTAACTAGATGATTGATGACTCAATAGCCCGGTATAGCAGTGAAATATTCCAATCCTAGAAAGCTATATCAGTAAGATAGGAGGGAGGTTCAGCATGAACAATAGTGTGCTGGTCTATATTGAAACAAATGACAAAATAAATGAAATATGTTGTAAATTATTCTTTTTTTTTTAAGGGTTTCTGTTGTGGACTCCAGTTTGTGCAATAATGTGATATAGTGTTTCTCTTTCCTGAGTGCTATTAAAGTAAAAGGACATAAGCAGGTACAAAAAAAAAACATATTTCAAGCTGCTTTTTAAATTTGTTATTGAAAGGATTCAAAAATAACTCTGTGATTTGATTATTTGACTTGACTCAATAAAGATCAGCCTAACATAAAAATCTTGTGATATGAAAAAGATGGTCCTGTGAAGGTGAAGAAATGTGTCAGATTCTGCCTAGTTCATTTAAAACACATCATAGTGGGGAAAGATGAAAAGAGATGGGTCACCAAAACTCAGGAGGATTCATGGAGATCATTGGTATAATTTCAAGTGTGAACCAGGAAAAGAGCTGCTGATCTTACAGAAGGGGAGTCCCGATACAACATTTTTGCTTCCGATACCATACCGATATTGTAGCCTTTAATATTGGCTGATACTGATATTGACACAAAATTTTGAATGACATGTTTTGCACTGCCTCACAGCCGACATCATTCCTACTCCTTCCTACTTTGTTCGTCCTTTAGTACAGACTGTTGTTGTGATCACGTGGGCTCTGCGTGCAGGATAGAGGTGCTGGAGTGGAGTCTGGAATGGACTGCTTGTATCAGAGTGCTGATAACACAGATTTTAGATGCAGGCCAATATAACCCGATATTCGTTTTTTGCTGATATCGGACTGATATCCAATATCAATATCGTATGTTTATCCAGTTAACAGGTAACTGGGTTCAGTCAGAGGTAAACAATACAGCTTATGAAATGACAGAACGGTCTAGACCGACTGTACAGTTGAAGAGAGGATCATCCGTTCTCCAACACACACAAATAAACACACGTGCACAGCAAGAGTGGATTAGATTTAACCCTTCTTAACCCCAAGGTGGGAAAACAGGACGGTTAAGGGGGGCTGCACTGGAGCTCTTCCAGTCCCAGGCCTCCTTACTTCTACAGGACACACCGGGACCATCTGCTCCCTCTGGCACAGAACTTCACAACAATAGACAAGAACTTGATTTTGTTTGAGTACACACTCACCCTCGAGATTGACTTGATCCCAATCTTCAGATTCTCAAAAGAAATATTTTTGCGGTCACAGGATTATCTGTTTACTGTTTGTTTATAGAGTCAAATTATTTGGATTAGTTTGCTTTATTTTAACCTTTTTACTCAGAATAATGACGTTGACGTGATTAGCAGTATTTTATTTTTTAGATTTCTTCAACCTTACTTTCAGAGGATTTCAAACTTGGTGTCGACATCCATGAGCCATTACAAAGCAGTCACTTTGTTCTTGAACTGCAGCCATTTCTCAGTGACTGGCCAAATGTGTGACAGGCACATCCACACAGTTTTTGGACTTTTGGTGCCAGAAATCAAGTATGAGAGGTTCAGGAAAGTGCTAAGTATTAGCTGTGAGAGCAAATATGTGCCTAAATTTGTCATGGGACCAGTAAGTAATGCTGTATTTACTGGCTTTGCTAGTTTGAGGTTGCAGCTGTTTCAGTCTTTTTAATCGTTCTAATGGTCTTCTACCTTGCTACCACCCTTTCCCTCCTTTATCTTATTTATTTTTTATTTTATCTGTGCTCCTCTTTCTCTTTCTTTTCCTGTTTTTTTTTCTCTTTTAGTCCCTCTCCACTGATTTCTCAAAGCATCCCCTCTCACTGCACCTTCTTGTTCCCTCCCTTCGTGTTCTCTTTTTGTAGACAGACTGTGAAGGTGAAATCTAATCCATTTTTAATGGAAAGTAATTGTATGAAGATGTGCCGTGCTGGGACTGAGGAGGAAAAAAAGAACAGAGTGAGGTGGAAAGACGAAGGGAGAAATGCATGTATATATATGTTCAGGAGACAGAGAGTGAAAGAGGAGGTGGAGGTGAGAAAAAAGAGAGGGAAGATGAAGAGACTGAGGAGACTTAGTGGGTCATGTGAGTGTGTGTGTGGGAGAGAGTGAGGAGAGAAAACGACAGAGGAAAAAAAAGGAGTGATGTGAAGGGAGATGACAAGCACAGACAGAGTCACTGCTCATCTTTTAAGGTAAATGGACAACAGGGTTACCCCACTATCTACTTACACTGAACCCAGGAAAGAACCCGATTCAACATCAGTGAATAGTGGGGCAGTGAAGGAACAAAACCGAAGTTATAACCAGTGATGTGAATTTTCTGTTTTCCTCACGGCTGAGCTATTATTAGGTCAGTGTGGGTCGCTCTAGACCCATTCATTCAAACCAGCTTTTAATATCATATTGGGGCAGTGATTCGAATATTAACTAAGATCATCATCACAGTGACTGAGTCAGTTATGCCGAGCTATTTTCATATCTCTGACAATCCAAATTGGTGTTTTGAATGAGTAACAAGCCTGGCTGTGATTGCTGCATTTAAAACGCAGTATGAAGTGCGTGTAGTTTCATTTTACTCCTTGAGATTAAATTCATAACCTCCGCATGGCACAACATTACCAATAATGCAGAAGCACAATCAAAAGAGAATCTTAAAACAATTTATGCTAATGCTAAATGCAGTGAGATCGTCTGGTGCGTGAACAAGCTTTCGGCTCACAAAAGATCCCTCGACTGATACTTAAATAAAGATTTATCCAACAGTTTTTTCTTAATTATCTGAAAAGTACAAAAATCTCTGCTGTTTCCTTCTTCAGATTACACATAAACATCTTCACATTAGCCGTGGATCTCATGGCCATGTCAGAGAGATCTTCCATGGTGACACACTCTTATATCAAAGTCTCTGTTGAGCACTTCATTTGGTTTGAGGACCCAAAACATTTGTTTGGATTTAGCGTTTTTTAGGAAAATCTCAACTAAATGGTACGCTACCTGCACAGCCCAGTAAGTAATTAGTTTGTTAATAAAGCAGATCATTTAATGACAAACATAATAGAGAAAGGTTATAACAAAGTGAACACGAATCCACAGACATTTACAACTCACTCACAGACAGTTTTCATGTTTGCATACCAAAGCTATTAACAGGTTTTACAACTTAATAATCAATATGAATGATCCAGAGTGTATATTGTCTTTTTACACTCTTGGTAAGTAAGAAACCTGTTAATGGTGGTGTTTTGGGGTTATTACATTATCATATCCACATTCTGGAGACTAATAAGGCCAATATCCAAGTTTTAGAAACCCCCCAAAACTAACCATAAGGTTTTTTTTTTCTTTTTAAATAATTGATCAGATTTTCGAACACTTTGAGTCCTGTTGCACATTATTTTTGGAAGTGGAAAGCATCTGCACTTAAGACCAACAAAATCTTAGCATAAAGTCTTTAAACTCATGCTGCAGCATACCTATTCATAGAGAAATTTCAGAATTACTAATGTGTTT